TATTTCTGAAAACACTGGCCAGTTAAAATGTTACAAATAGCAGCAGAACATTGTCTGGTATAGTGGTGGAAGATGTATCCCTCAGGTTGGAAGACACTCAAAACATGATTGGGGAAGAGCGGCCTCCTCTAAGTAGAGTTCAGTAAAGCTTTTTTGCTGAGGTGGTGCGACTCAAAATGAGGAGAAACAGCTGCAAACATCCATTAATAATCGTAACATGGAATGTACGAACTATGAATCTAAGAAAATTGGAAGTCAAAAAAAATGAAATGGACCACATAAAGATTGATATCCTAGGTATTAGTGAGCTGAAATGGGCTGGTATTGGCCATTTTGTATCAGACTATCACATGGCCTACTATGCTGGGAATGACAAATTGAAGAGGAATGGCGTTGTATTCATCGTCAAAAAGAACATTTCAAGATCTGTTATAAAGTACAATGCTGTCACTGATAGGATAAGATCCATATGCCTACAAGGATGAACAGTTGATGTGACTATTATATTCAAATTTATACAAAAACCACTAATGCCAAAGATGAGAAATTGAAGATTTTTTTACCAACTTCTGCAGTCTGAAATTGATCAAACATGCAGTCAAGATGCATTGAGAATTACTGGTGATTGGAATGCGAAAGTTGGGAACAAAGAAGGAACCAACCAAAAAAACCCTGTTGCCGTCAACTCAATTCTGACTCGTAGCAATCCTACAGGACAGAGTAGAACTTCCCCATAGGGTTTCCAAGGAGCAGCTGGTAGATTTCAACTACTGACCTTTTGGTTAGCAGTTGAGCTTTTAACCACTGTGCCACCAGGGCTCCAGAAGGAACAGTAGTTGGAAAATACGGCCATGGTGATAGAAACGATGCCAGAGGGCTGAATTGTGCAAGACCAATGATTTCTTCACTGCAAATACCTTTTTCAGCAACATAAACACGAACCTCACCAGATGGAATACACATGAATCAAATTGACTATATCTGTGGAAGGAGAAGATGGAAAAGCTCAGTATCATCAGTCAGAACAAGGCAAGGGGCTGACTTCGGAACAGACCATCAATTGCTTGTATGCAAATTCAAGTTGAAGCTGAAGAAAATTAGAGCAAGTCCACGGAAGCCAAAATATGACCTTGAGTATATTCTGCCTGAATTTAGAGACCACCTCAAGAATAGATCTGATGTGTTGAACACTGATGACCGAAGACCTGACGAGTTGTGGAATAACATCAAGGATAGCATACATGAAGAAAGCAAAAGGTCATTATAAAGACAGGAAAGAAAGAAAAGACCAAAATGGATGTCAGAAGAGACTCTAAAGGTTGCTGTTGAACATAGAGTAGGAAAAGCAAAAGGAAGAAGTGAAGTAAAAGAGCTGAACAGAAGATTTTAAAGGGCAGCTTGAGAAAACAAAGTTAAGTATTATAATTAAATGTGCAAAGACCTGGAGTTAGAAAACCAAAAGGAAAGAATATGCTCAGCATTTCTCAAGCTGAAAGAACTGAAGAAAAAATTCAAGCCTCGAGTTACAATATTGAAGGGTTCTACAGGGAAAATATTGAATGACACAGGAAGCATTAAAAGAAAACGGAAGGAATACACAGTCACTGTACCAAAAAGAATTAGTTGACTTTTAGCCATTTCAGGAGGTAGCATATGATCAAGAACTGATGGTACTGAAGGAAGAAGTCCAAGCTGCACTAAAGGGAATGGCGAAAAACAAGGCTCCAGGAATTGATGAAATACCAATTGAGATGTTTCAACAAACTGATGCAGTGCTGGAGGTACTCACTCACCTATGTCAAGAAATTTGGAAGACAGCTTCCTGGCCAACCGACTGGAAGAGACCCATATTTGTGCCCATTCCAAAGAAAGGTTATCCAACAGAATGTGGAAATTATCAAACAATATCATTAATATCACTCATAGGTAAAATTTTGCTGAAGATCACTTAAAAGTGATTGCAGCAGTACATTGGTAGGCAACTGCCAGAAGTTCAAGGAGGATTCAGAAGAGGATGTGGAATAAGGGATATCATTGCTGATGTCAGATGGATCCTGGCTGAAAGCAGAGAATAGCAGAAAGATGTTTACCTGTGTTTTATTGATTATGCAAAGGCAATCAACTGTGTGAATCATAACAAATTATGGATAATATTGTGAAGAATGGGAATTCTAAAACACTTAATTGTGCTCATGAGCAACCTGTACATAGACCAAGAGGCAGTCGTTTGAACAGAACAAGGGGATACTGTGTGGCTTAAAGTCAGGAGAGGTGTGTGTCAGGGTTGTATCCTTTCACCACACTTATTCAATGTGTATGCTGAGCAAATAATCCAGGAAGCTGGACTATATGAAGAAGAATGAGGCATCAGGATTGGAGAAAGACTCATTAACAACCGGCGTTATGCAGATGACACGACCTTACTTGCTGAAAGCGAAGAAGACTGAAGCACTTACTGATGAAGATCCAAGACCACAGCCTTCGGTATGGATTACACCTCAACATAAAGAAAACAAACATCCTCACAACTGGACCAATAAGCAATATCAAGATAATGGAGAAAAGATTGAAGTTGTCAAGGATTTCATTTTTCTTGGATCCACAATCAACACCCGTGGAAGCAGCAGTCAAGAAATCAAATGACTCATTGCACTGGGCAAATCTGCTGCAAAAGACCTCTATAAAGTGTTCAAAAGCAAAGATGTCACTTTGAGGACTAAGGTGCTCCTGACCCAAGCCATGGGGTTTTCAATCGCCTCATCTGCATGTGAAAGCTGCACGATGAATAAGGAAGACCGAAGAAGAATTGACACCTTTAAATTACGGTGTTGGTGAAGAATAGTGAGTATATCATTGACTGGCAGAAGAACCAACAAATCTGTCTTGGAAGAAGTACAGCCAGAATGCTCCTTAGACGCAAGGATGGTGAGACTTCATACTTTGGACATGTTATCAGGAGGGATCAGTTCCTGGGGAAGGACACCATGCTTGGTAAAGTGGAGGATCAGTGAAAAAGAGGAAGACCCTCAATGAGATGGATTGACACAGTGGCTGCAACAATGGGCTCAAGCATAACATGGATTGTGAGGATGGTGCAGGACTGGAGACTGTTTCTTTCTGTTGTACATAGGGTCACTATGAATCAGAACTGACTTGATGGCACCTAACAACAACAAACTTTGAAAGCTGTTTTCCCCCCTGAGCCTCTGCTTCCCCGGTTGTAGGATGGAGATAGTGACAAAACCGACCATGAAGGTGTATAGGAATGCGTTAGAAAATTCAGAGGGAGGGAGGGAGAAAGGAAAGGAGAGAGAGAGAAAGAGAGAGAGAAGGAGAGAGAGAGAGAGAGAGGGAGAGAGAAAGAGAGATTTATGTTAAGGAAATGGCTCATGTGATTGTAAAGGCTGGAAAGCCTCAAGTCCATGGGTCAGGCTGGAGGTTTCTCCTGACTCACGTAGCTGCAGGGGCTGGCAAACCCAGGATTGGCTGGTCAGACAGCAGGCCTCTGGCTCACAGGCTGGGGAGACTGATGAATCCCAAGATTGGAGGTAAGCTGCTAGCTCAAGTCCCAAGAACTGGAGGTCAGATGCAAGATCCAGAGTGAGCAAAAGCCTGTGAGTTTTGCCAGGAAGTCCACAACATATTAGATGCAGGCCACAATCCCAAGGAAACTGCCTTTCAATTGATTGACTGCTCTTAGTAGATCTCATCGTGGAGGTGATTACATCTTTACATAATTGCCAGACTACATCATAACTGCCAAACCATTGAGAATCATGGCCCAGCTGGGTTGACACACAACCTTAACCACTACACTGGCCCTGCCCGTTAATAGCTGAGCACCACTTGGGAAGTTACTCAGCCTCTCTGAGCCTTAGTTCTCATCAGTAAAATGGGGATAATAATAGCCTACCTCCTAGGTGTGAAGATGATGTTATTATTAATGTTCCATAATTGGTCTAACTGGCTCACTGTTGGGTCCAGAGCTTTGGTCTGTGGCTGTTCCCTGTTCCCTCTTCCAGGAGTCTTCGTCCTTCAAGTCCCTCAGAGACAAGTGGAAGTGGGCCTGGGATGGGGACACATGGTTCACCCACAGGGCCTCTGTGGGGCCCGGGGAGATGTGCTGAGGAGAGCACAGAGCCACCTCTCATTAGGGAGTTCAAGTGGCAGGACTCACCCAGCACCTATAGCCATGTCCCACCACCCGCCTGTCAGTTTGTCCTAGTATGGTAGCTTGTGTGTTCCTGTGATGCTTGGAGCTGTGCTACCAGTATTTCAAATACCAGCAGGGTCACCTGTGGTGGACAGGTTCCAGAGGAGCTTCCAGACCAAGACAGACTAGAAAGAAATGCATGGTGATCTACTTTCCAAAGTTAGCCAATGAAAACTTTATGGATCACACCAGCATATGGTCCAATATACTGCTGGAAGATGAACCCCTAGAAGGAAGGGACTCAAAATACACAGTGGCCGCAACAATGGACTCAAACATACCAACGACCATAAAGATGGTGCAAGATGGGGCAACATTCATTCTGTTATGTATGGGGTCACCATGAGTTAGAGCCAGCTTAGTGGCAGCTAACAACAATAACAACATCGCCATTCAAGCAGTTTACCGTTTTCTGTTTATCTGGGTTATAAAAAAAGTTTTCTAATATATAACCTCTTCAGAGGATCCCTAAAGAGACTGAGAGGAGGTTGCCAGCATGCCCTCGTGCTCTCTTTGATAAGCTCTGATTCTCTGAGGCCTTGTCCCAGGTTAACTTTCTCAGTTAAGCAAACAAATCAACAGTCTCACCCCTGCTTCCACCCTTGCCCTGCCAGTGGCACCAGGGTAAAAGATTACTTCTAGTTGGTCACTTTCCAGAAGTATCATGCTTCGACAGCAACTTGATTTCAAACCACCCCATTTCAAAAGAATCCCAATAAATCATTGAACCTGGGCCGCTGTAGCCCACAATGGGGCTGGCCAGAGTGATGCAGCACCTGACATCACCATGCCCACCGTGGATGATATTCTGGAGAAGATTGGGGGGTTTGGCTGGTTCCAGAAGCAGGCCTTCCTGACCCTATGTCTGCTCTCTGCTTTCTTTGCTCCCATCTACGTGGGCATCGTTTTCCTGGGCTTCACCCCAGACCACCGATGCCGGAGCCCTGGGGTGGCCGAGCTCAGCCAGCGGTGTGGCTGGAGCCAGGACGAGGAGCTGAACTACACGGTGCCCGGGCTGGGGGCCACAGGTGATGCCTACACCCGCCAGTGTCTCAGGTATGAGGTGGACTGGAACCAGAGCGCCCTTGACTGCGTGGACCCACTGGCTGGCCTGGCTGCCAACAGGAGCCATCTACCACTGGGCCCCTGTAGGGATGGCTGGGTGTATGACACGCCCGGTTCTTCCATTGTGACAGAGGTGAGAACGTGCGCTGCTACTTTGGGTAACTTGTGGGCTTCAGTGGCAGAGTGCAGCAGACAACACACCCTGTGGGCTTTGTTTTCATGTCAGGAAATGGGGTAAGAGTTGTATTTGTCAAGCACTTGCCTTGTGTCAGGCTCTGTGCTGGGGACTCTGCATGCTTCCCTTGTTCCCTGTCCCACGCAACTCTGGGTACTAGAGCAGGAAGCTGACGGTCAGAGACCAACACAAGCCAGGCTGAGTTGGGTTATTTGGAGAGCTGTCCATGGGGAGACCAGGGGCCTTCTCCCTTCCCCACTGGCTCCCCCAAAAGCCCCCAGAATTCACTCTGGGCCCTGCTTCCCCACCATTAGGATGGCTGGCGTCCCCTCCCTCTGCTCAAGATGATGGATACATGTTGTCTACATGGTGGTGGCTGTGGTGACGTAGAGGTGCCTGGGTGGTGCGAACAGTTTGTTCTCGACTACTAATAGAAAGGTTGGTGGTTTGGACCCACCCAGATACACCACTGAAGAAAGGCCTGGAGATCTACTTCCATAATGATCACAGCCAAGAAAATCCCATGGAGTTCCGTTCTACTCTGTCATACATTGGGTTGCCATGAGTTGGAATCAGTTGGATGGTGTCTTAGTTATCTAGTGCTACCATAACAGAAATACCATAAGTGGATGGCTTTAACAAAGAGAAATCCATTCTTTCACAGTCTAGGAGGATAAAAGTTCAAATCCAAGGTGTCAGCTCCAGGGGAAAGCTTTCTCTCTCTGTCGGCTCTGGGGGTAGGTCCTTGTCATCAGTCTTCCCTGATCAAGGAACTTCTCAGCACTGGGATCACAGGTCCAAAGGATGCACTATTCTCCTGGCTCTTGTTTCTTGGTGGTATGAGATCCCCCTGTCTCTCTGTTGGTTTCTCTCTTTTATGTCTCAAAAGAGATTGGCTTAAAACACAACCTAATCTTGTAGATTGAGTTCTACCTCATTAACATAACTGCTTCTAATCCTGCCTCATTAACATCATAGAGGTAGGATTTACAACGCATAGGAAAATCACATCAGATCACAAAATGGTGGACAATCATACAATACTGGGAATCATAGCCTAGCCAAGTTGGTACACATATTTTTTGGGGACACAATTCAATCCATAACAGATGGCAACGGGTGTGGTTTGGATCAGGTGGTGATGTGGAATTTGCCCTGGCTTTGGAGTCAGGCTCTTTGGTTGAATCACAGTCCCACTTCTTATTAAACTGAGCACCACTGGGTAGGTTCCTTAGTCTCTCAGAGCTTTAGTTATCGTCTGTAAAAGGGGGGTGATGATAGCCTACCTCACAGGGCATGAAGTTCAGCAGAGAAGGCACTAAGCAAACGTAAACAGAGTTACACTGTGAAGTCCCGCGTGTGGCCCATGGGGAAGGGTGATGGCGTCCCAGGGGCCCTGCTTGGATGGTTTAGTTAGTTATTTGGCCATTTTGCTTGGAGAACATTTCAATAGAGTGACCCTAGGTATTTTTCCACCAAGGAAATACACGGCCCCTTTTGAAAGCATTGCACTCTGACAAGGGTGGGCCCTTGGAAATCGGCACGGTGTCAGTTGGCAAAGCCACTGGCCAAAACCTATTCAGATGCTCTCTGTTAGCAACAGCCTGGTTCTGGCGAGGGTATTGCTTACCCGAAACAAGATGTAACCGGGCCCTCCCCTCCTTGTTCCCCCCAAACGCCCACCCCCATCAAGTTCCATGGTTTCTCGGGTCACCTCTCTTCCTTTCTCCCCTTCATTAGTGGTTTCAGCACTGTTATGCATTGAATTGTGTCCCCCAAAATATGTGTTGGAATTCTCACCCCCATACCTGGCGATGTAATCCCGTTTGTGAATAGGGTTTTCTTTGTCATGTTAATGAGGCCATATCTGTGTAGGGTGTGTCCTAAACCTAATCACTTCTGAGCTCTAAAAAGAGCAGATTAGACACAGAGGAAGCACAAAATGGGGAGGGGGCACATGCCATGGAACTTCAGAAGCCTGGGGCTACAGAAGCTGAAAGAGACAAGGACCTTCCCCCAAGCCGACCAAGAGAGCCTTTCCCTAGAGCTAGTGCCCTGAATTCGAGCTTCAAGTCACCTGAACTGTGAGAAGCTTCTGCTCTTTAAAGCCACCCATCTGTGGTATTTCTGTTATAGCAGCACTGGGACGCTAAGACAAGCGCCAACACATTTATGGCCTCGTGTCCTCTCCTCCTGGCTGCCAGAGCTCTCGCTAGGGAGCAGAGCAGGGTTTCTCCCTCAGGAGGAGCAGGTGCTGGTGCTTCACACGCCATTTAATGAACATCTGTCCCCCAGCGACAGATACAAAGAAGATGAATGACTTTCCAGGAACGCTCAGCAGATTCCTGCTGGGAATCTAGAAGAGCCCAAGATGGAGAAGTGTTTGTTCTCTGTGACTGAGATGTTCTGCTTTTGAAGACTCAGAGTCTTTGGTATAGGGTTGCCTGATAAAATAAATATAGGATGCCAGTTAAATTTGAATTTCAGATAAACAAAAAATACATTTTTAGCGTAAGTGTTGCTGTTGTTGTTAGGTGCGGTTGAGCTGGTTCCAACTCATAGCAACCCTGTGTACAACAGAACAAAACACTGCCCGGTCCTGTGCCATCCTCACAGTCTTTGCTATCTTTGAGCCCATTGTTGCAGCCACTGTGTCAATCCATCTCTTTGAGGGTCTCCTTTTTTTCACTGACCCTCTACTTTACCAAGCATGATGTCTTTCTCCAGGGACTGATCCCTCCTGACAACATGTCCAAAGTATATCCCAGATATTACATGACATTTGATGCTGATAACTGAGACTGGGAATACAAATATTGCACGAGACACACTTATACTAAAATAAAATGTGTTTATTGGAAATTCAAATTTAACTGGGCACCCTGTGGTTTTATTTGCTGAATCAGACAAACTGCTTTAGTGCCAAACTAAGGAGCTTGGTGTTATTTAGGCAAAGGAGCAAGATGGCATAGCTGGGCATTGCAAATGGTCTGCCAGTGATGAGGTGACTTCACTGGAAGGAGGGAGATACAGGAGGAGGCCAAAATAGGGACCTGGTGAGACGTGTCAACCAGCATGGTTGTCACAGGCATGGAAGGAAGAAATGATTTAAGAGATATGGACATTGCGTGGAAACCCTAGTGGCGTAGTGGTTAAGTGCTACTGCTGCTAACCAAAAGGTCGGCAGCTCGAATCCACCAGGCGCTCCTTGGAAACTCTATGGGGCAATTCTACTCTGTCCTATAGGGTTGCTATGAGTCGGAATCAACTCAGTGGCAATGGGTTTTTTAACAGGACATTGCATAGTTGGGGAGAGAGAAGGTTCTGGCTTGAGGACCTGAGTGAATGGAGTTTCTATAACTGAGGCTGGTGTCTTAGTTACCTAGTGCTGCTGTAACAGAAAAAGCACAAATGGGTGGTTTTAAGAAACAAAAATCTATTTTCTCACAGTTTAGGAGGGTAGAAGTCCAAATTCAGGGCGCTGGCTCTAGAGGAAGGCTTTCTCTCTCTGTTGGCTCTGAGGGAACGTCCTTGTCTCTTCAGCTTCTGTTTCTTGGTTCCTTGGAGATCTCATGTGGCGTAGCATCTGTCTTCCCGCACTGTGCTTTCTTGCTGCTTGCTTAATCTGCCGTTAAGACACACCCTACACTAATATTGCCTCATTAAAGTTAACAAAGAAAACCCATTCCCAAATGGAATTATAACCACAGGTATATTAGGATTTACAACGCGTATTTCTGGGGGACACAATTCAATCCCTAACAGCTGGAAGGAGCAGTCTGGGGAGGTGGAGGCATGTGCTGAAGTCCTGACCTAGGTGGGTGGCAGCAGAAAAGGAGAGGAGGGAACAGATGCAAGAGAACCAAAAAGGCTGTAGAACCAGTTGGCTATCTGTGGCAATTGAGGAGTGGGCTTTAAAGTGACCCCAGGACCTAGAGCTCTGGAGGATTGGGAGAACCCTGGAGCTGCTCACAGAGAAAGTGAAGAGGAGGTGATTTTAGGAGAAACAGTTCATTTGGGGGCATCCTGAGTTTGAAGAGCAGGTGAATTCATTTAGAGGTCTTCAAAGGTAATTGGTAGCATGGTAACTCTGGGCAGGAGGGCAATAGGAATTAGCTCCTGGATGGGAATTGTCTTCCACTTTAATTCTCCCTTGTGTTGCTACAAAGCTGCCCTTGCCTCCATGCCTCGTCCTAAATTGAAGATTATTCTCAGAAAATTAACCTTAGTTATTCATTCCCGCAGAAATAATTTTTAACCTAGCATTGCCTTGGACATTGGAACTTGCTTAAGGGAGGAAGAGAGGCCAAGTCATTTGGAAATCACATTTAATCTCACTCCAAGACATAGGGACTGGGGTTATGGGGTCCATTTGGGGAGGAATGTGGAAGTTCTCTGACCTTGCCTCCCCCTGGCTGCTTCTCTTCTGCCCTCTCAGCCACAGACCCCACCATCTGTCCTCCATCGGCTATGAACGTTGAGCAAGGGAGAGAGAGGCCTAGGATCAAGGTCAGATGGGGGTGGTCACATCAATGTTTCCCGAAGTTGTCTGATCCTGAGCTCACCTGCATTCTTACTCCTGACGCACTGAAGCAGAATCCACAGGGAATCTGGACTTTCACAGGGACTTCTGATGATTCTTGTGATCGCGCATGTTTGGTGAACATTGCCTGTCCCTTTATGTAACCAGTTACTGTCCAATCAACCCTGACTCACGGTGACTCCATGTGCGTTAGAGTAGAACTGTGTTCCATAGGGTTTTCAATGGCTGATTTTTTGGAAGTAGATCATCAGGCCTTTCTTCCGATGTGCCTCTGGGTGGACTTGAACCACCAACATTTTGGTTAGCAGCTGAGCTCGTTAATTGTTTGCACCACCCAAGATCTTAGGCATAGCTTAGAGGGCAGAGCAAGTTCTCATTGGGAGGCGGGATTAGAAGGGAAGGCAGAGGTGCTGTGCATCCTCAGCCCCTGAATTCTCTGGCCCCATGATGGTCCCGGGGCAAGACCAGGATGTCTTCAGGAAGGGCAGCAGGAACGTCTTACAGAGACACTGACATTCAAAGATTAAAATGAAAACCAGAAACAATGTCTAAGAAAGAAAGAAGCTGAGGCACAGGGGCAACAATTCCACCGACTTCTCCCCACCCCACAACTTTCATGAAATCTACTGTCTAGAGCAGGCTGAAGGAGCCCTGGTGGCACAGCGGTGAAGTGCTTCAACTGCTAACCGAAAGGTCTGTGGTTTGAACCCACCAGTGACTCTGCAGGAGAAAAGACCTGTCAGTCTGCTCCTGTAAAGATTACAACCTTAGAAACCTTATTGGGCAGTTCTACTGTATCCTATAGGGTCCCTATGAGTTGGAATTGACGGCACCCAACGACAACAGAGCAGGTTGTCTTAAGCAATGTGGGGGAAGGGGCACAGGAGAAACAGTTGGGCAGCTGGAGGAAGAGATGGTCAGATGGCCAGATCAGCCTAGGACCTTCTGTACTGGTGCGTTCCAACAGCCAGAGCGCAGCCTGGCAGAGAAACCAAAGGAACCACAGGTGGAAAAGTTACCAGGTGGGTGGTCACCTGGGGGAAGCTCTATGAGAAGGTGCATTTAAGGCTGAATCGTACAGGGTAAAACAGACCTGTGGATTGGTGGAGAGCGTGAGAGTGAAGCGGATGGAGCAAACCGCACGCTCCCGCTGAGCTGCAATCCTCACTTGAGTGAACAGGTAGGAGGTAGAGGCTCGTTATTAGTTTCTTTCTTTCTTTTTTCTTAAACTGCGCTTCACATGAAGGTTTACAGAACACATTAGTTTCTCATTAAACAACTAATACACATATGGTTATGGGACGTTGGTTGCCAACCCCGAGACGTGTCAACACTCTCCTGCTTGACCTTGGGTTCCCCACTTCCATTCGTTCCGCTTTCCTGTCCCCTCCTGCCTCCTCATCCCTGCCCGTGGGCTGGTGTACCCATTTAGGCTCATATACCTGGTTGAGCTACGTGTGTTATTGTTTTATGGGCCTGTCTAATCTTTGGCTGAAGGGTGAACCTAAGGAGTGACTTCAGTACTGAGTTAAAAGGGTGTCCTGGTGCCATACTCTCAGGGTTTCTCCAGTCTCTGTCAGATCATTATTATTTCTGACAGTCAGGTGGTGACATGGATTTCTACTCATATTTCATAACAAAGTTGCGCCTGTCATTCATCGCCTTCCAGAGTGAGATTTGGGAGGAGAGTTAAGGTATTTGAGGATTGAGAGGTGAGTGGATGGTGAGGCAGCGGGAATGGGACTCTCCTTTCAAGAAGTTTGCCAGGAAGAGGAAAGAAAGGATCAGCGTGTAAATAAGAAGGCCAGATGAGCAATTGTACTTTTGAATTCAGGGAACCATGTCCTACTGGAAGGTAGACAAGATAATGGAGAGGTGGAAAGGTTCATGCTGCAGAGATTTCCAGTTTTAAGTTCCAGTGGGTGCTGTTCCCCACTTCTCACTAAAAATATCTATGAAGACACTGAAGTCATTGAAAACTCACAAAGACACCAACAAATAGAACAGCCGACTGCCAGATCCTGGGAGGACAGTTCTCAAAGAACTTCAGAGCAGAATCAGAATGACCACCTAAAACTAAACAAACCTACCTGCTTGAAAGAAGGAAGGAAGGGGGTGTGTTGCTCTCCTACTGCCTCCCTGACTTGAGACCTGGCCGTTGTTTTGCTACATGATTCTATTTCAAAGGTGGCTATGGCAATATTTCTGCCCACCTTCCCTGCCTTCATTTGTATTACCTTTATTCGACCTGAGAAAGCAACTGGGCAAGGGGGTTCGGGAGAATTTACATCGGCCATTCTCTCCTAGGCTATGTATCCCAAGCCAGTCAAGCACTGTAGAGTTGAGGGAGAGACAGGAAAGAGTCTTCCCACTTGGACCTGATGGAGATGTGAGAAGTGTACTTCAGCAGTTAGGGTGTCCCAGAACCAGGCAATACGTGAGGAGAAGATGCCTCCTCAACCCACCAAAGCCACACTGGCTAATTTTCTTGTAGACACTGGAAATTAGGCTAGTTGCTCCATACACCATTTTGTTTCCAGATTTTGGTCTGAGAAGATGACTCTGCCAACACCCAGTGGCAAAGCCATACACCCAGTATGTTGACAGGTTTGGAGAGATTCTTAGTTCCAGGATTTGAAAACGGGAAAAAAGTCCAATAATATAGAATCAGTGAAAAAAAAATTTAGAGGGGAAATAGACCACCACAAGATTCAAGGAGGAACAAACACCCTAAAATGAATTACTATCGAAACCAGAAGAAAATACTCGTAGTCATTAACATTCACATTTTTCAAAGCAATTTCAATATGGAAACGTGACCATTTTCGAGTGAGTGAAAATAAGTTACTGTATGACCTTGAGCAAGTTACTTACCTCTTCAAGCTTTAGTTTCCTCATTTTTCTATCAGGGAATATAATTCCTACCATACTGGGCTGTTTTGAGACCTGGCAAACTGCTCCAGTAAAGATTACAGCCTAGGAAACCCTGTGGGGCAGTTCTACTCAGTCACATATGGTTGCCATGAGTTGGAAATGACTTGGCAGCACACAACAACAACAGGATTGTTTTGAGAACAAACAGGTAATCTCTGTAAATTGCTTTAGCATAATGTCTGGCGCAACATAAGCAATAGATTTTAGGGATTATATGCTGTTGCTATTATTAGTTTTACATTAAAGTACACATTGAATTGAAGTGATTTTGATGATTGGCCTGCAATTGGATATAATAACTTCAGGCTAAACTATCAAAACAAGAAACTCATCTTAGCTCTGTTAAGGTTTAAAAAATACTTCAAATTTTCCATAATGAGGCCTCAGTGCACTGCAGGGATTCTCGAACATGACTGAACATTAGAATAACCTGGGCAGCTTTTAAACATACTGCTGCCTGCGTCCCATCTCCAAAGATTCTGAAATCATTGGTTTCAGAGTATGGCCTAGGCACTGGGATCTTTACAAATGCCCCCAAGTGATTCTCCCATGAAGCCAAGTTTGGGAACCTTTGGAGTGGTAGGAGGATCAAAGTTGACCCTGGAGTTGAAGAGACCTAGACTTGAACTTCAGCTCTGGAGTCTTCTATTTGCCTGATCTTAGTTACTTAACTGCTCAGAGTCACCAGTGTTTCATCCTTACAAAGGGAACAGTTAATATTTCACAAGATTATTGAGGGAATTAGATGAGGAAATAGAACTGATCACAGTGTCTGTCATGTAGACATTCGATAGTTATTGGTTTTCTTCCTCCCTCCTTGCGTTCTCCCTTTTATCCTGGCTGCAAGCTCAACGGTCTTCCATTTTGTTGGTTTTATTAATTTCTTTGAGCCAACACTGGAAAAACATGTTATATTTCTTTCATTACATTTATTATTATCATTATTTTTGTGAAAAATTGCCTTACTGTATTTCTTTTTAGAAAAATTATCTAATGGCCTTGTGAGAGGCAGTTAATTGGTTCTTGCTCTCTTTACCAAAGACATTTTGTCCTGTGATAACCCACTGTCAAGGGCAAAGCACTTGACGATGGTTTCTTTAATGAATATATAATGAGAGTATTATAAAGATATTAGGAATATAACGAAAATTACTGAGAAATTGACCAGAAACATCGGATTTCATCTTATGAGAGGAAAATCTGTGAAACACCTAGGGGACACCAAGGTTTGTGTCATACATTTGCTTTGTCAGGAGAAAGGATGCAAGGGTGCAGTTCTGATTTACAAACGGCTTTGTGTTTTTGGTCCGTCCCTCAGTTTAACCTGGTGTGTGCTGATTCCTGGAAGGTGGATCTGTTTCAGTCCTGTGTGAATGTGGGCTTCTTCCTCAGCTCCCTGGGAATTGGCTACATTGCAGACAGGTACGTAAAGGCCAATTCAATTAAACGTGTCATTAATGCCATGAGGAAAATGAGTTCTAGGGGATAACAGTGGAAGAAGAGGGGAATAATTAGAATCTATCACAGAAGTTGGTGGAGAGAATTATTGATAGTGTGTCTATCAATTGGTGGTGGGAGATGGAGAAAGGTAATGAGGTTTGAGGTGTATTTCAGAATTCGAGACGACATATAGGTTGTATGTTAGGGATGGAGGCTGACAGAACGGGGACACAAAGGCAAGGTTTATGCTTAAAGCAAATGAATGAGCGTAATGCCATTTTCTGAGATGGGAAAGAATGGATTAGGGACAGATTTTTGTTGAAGCTCTTTGTAGGGGAAGGGGCTGGGAAGGAAGCAAGAGTTTTCTTTTAAATGCGTTCAGTTTGCAGATGTATTAAGTATAAACTGTAATAACAGATTTGGTGATGGCTACACAACCTGATTAATGTAATTGGTGTCACTGAACCGTACATGTGAAAGTTGTTGAACTGGCGAACGTTATGTTACCTATATTTTCACAACAGCAATAACAGAAAAAAAGAGAAAACACTAAGGTAAAAAGGAAAAAAAAAAAAGAGTAGTTTGTAAGACATATAAAAAAAGATGTCAGGTAGGCCATTGGTATATGAGTTGAGCTCAGAAGAGAAGCTTAACTATTTGGGATTTGTCACCAGTAGAGCCATGAAACAAGTTTGAGATCATCTAGAAGAGGGTAAAGAGAGAGAATGTCAAGATGTAGAGGGTGATAGGGGAGGAGTCCACCACCCGTCTGTCAGTTTGTCATACTGTGGTGGCTTGCATGTTGCTGTGATGCTGGAAGCTATGCCACTAGTATTTCAAATACCAGCAGGGTCACACAGGGTGGACAGGTTTCAGTGGAGTACTTCCAGTGTATGCTGGAAGCACTCACTCATCTATGCTAAGACAGACTGAGAAGGACCTGATGTTCTACTTCTGAAAAAAATTGGCCAGTGAAAACCTTATAGATAGCAGTGGAATGTTGTCTGATACAGTGCTGGAAGATGAGCCCCTCAGGCTGAAAGGCACTCATATACAACCAGGGAAGAGCTGCCTCCTCAAAGTAGAGTCGACCTTAATGATGTAGATGGAGTCAAGCTTTCGGGTCCTTCATTTGATGTTTTGGCACAACTCAGAATGAGACGAAACAGCTGCAAACATCCAAAGATGAAGAAATGAAGATTTTTACCAACTTGTGCAGTCTGAAATTGATCAAACATGCAATCAAGATGCATTGATAATAAGTGGTGATTGGAACGTGAAAGTTGGAACTTTCAAGATCTATCCTGAAAGACAACACTGTCCGTGATAAGATAATATACATATACCTGCAAGGAAGACCAGTTAATATGACTATTATTCAAATTTATGCACCAATCATTAAGGCCAAAGATGAAGGAATACACAGAGTCACTGTACCAAAAAGAAATAGTCGACATTCAGCCATTTAGGAGGGAGCATATGATCAAGAACCGATCGGACCAAAGGAAGAAGTCTAAGCTGCACTGAAGACACCGGCCAAAAGAGCCCCCAGGAATTGACAGAATACCGACTGAGATGCTTCAACAAACAGTTGCATGCTGGAAGCACTCACTCATCTGTGCTAAGAAATTTGGAAGACAGCTTCCTGGCCAACTGACTGGAAAAGAGCCATATTTGTGTCCATTCCAAAGAAAGGTGATTCAACGGAATGCAGAAATTATTGAACAGTATCATTAATATCACATGCAAGTAAAATTATGTTAAAGATAATTCAAAAATGGTTGCAGCAGTACATCGAGAGGCAACTACCAGAAATTCAAGCCCGATTCAGAAGAGGCTGTGGAATGAGGGATATCATTGCCGATGTCAGATGGTCTTAGTTGAAAGCAGAGAATAATAGAAAGATGTTTACCTGTGTTTTATTGACTATGCAAAGGCATTCGACTGTGTGGATCACATCAAATTACAGATAGCATTGCGAAGAATGGGAATCCCAGAACACTTAATTGTGCTCGTGCGGAACCTATACATATAGACCAAGAGGCAGTTGTACGAACAGAACAAGCGGATAGTGCGTGGTTTAAAATCAGGAAAGGTGTGTGTTAGGCTGTATTCTTTCACCATACTTATTCAGTCTGTATGCTGAGCAAATAATCTGAGAAGCTAAACTATATGAAGAAGAATGCGGCATCAGGATTGGAGGAAGACTCAGTAACAACCTGCGATATGCAGATGACACAACTTTGCTTGCTGAAAGTGGACTTGAAGCACTTACTGATGAAGATCAAAGACCACAGCCTTCAGTATGAATTACACCTCAACATAAAGAAACAAAAATCCCCACAACTGGACCAATAAGCAACATCATGATAAACAGAGAAAAGATTGAAGTTGTCAAGGATTTCATTTTACTTGGATCCACAATCAACACCCATGGAAGCAGCAGTCAAGAAATCAAACAGCTCATTGCTTTGGGCAAATGTCCTGCAAAAGACCTCTTTAAAGTGTTAAAAAGCAGAGATGTCACTTTGAGGACTAAGGTGGACCTGATTCAAGCCATGGTGTTTTCAATCGCCTGATACGCATGTGAAAGCTGGACACTGAATAATGAAGACTGAAGAAGAATTGATGCCTTTGAGTTATGCTGTTGGCAAAGAATATTGAATATACCATGGACTGCCAGAAGAATGAACAAATCTGTCTTGGAAGAAGTACAATCAGAATCCTCCTTAGAAGCGAGAGGGGTGAGACTTCATCTCAGGTACTTTGGACATTTTATCAGGAGGAACTAGTCCCTTTACCATGCTTGATAAAGTAGAGGATCAGCGAAAAAGAGGGAGACCCTCAGTGAGATGGATTGACACGGTGGCTGCAACAATGAGCTCCAACATAGCAATGATTATGAGGATGGTGCAGGACCAGGCAGTGTGTGTTTTGTTGTGCACAGGGTCGTTATGAGTTGGAACCGACTTGATGGCTCCCAACAACAAGAACAACAACAGGGCAGGAGTTGCTGGCAAAGGAGACTTAGAAGAAATGGCAGACAGAGAGAAGGAGAGGGTGATTTTACAGAAAACAAGAGGACAGTGACTCAAAGAGGAGAGGGGCATCACATGTGCAGATACTGCTGAGAGGTCAGCCTATTGGCTCTGTGAACATGGAAGCCATGAGCACCCACGATGAAGGAAGAGTCAGTGGAAGGCCGAAGGAAAAGTGGAGGTGGGGAAGTGGAGCTCCTGTGGGCAGACAGATTTTTAAATGAGTTAGCTGTAACCCGTAACCTAACCCACTGCCATTGAGTTGATTCCGAGTCATAACGACCTGAGTTGCCTGTGGAGGAGAGGAAATGGGGAAACAGCCAGAGAGAGATGGAGCGTCCAGGATCAGGGTGGCGTCTAATGAGAATGAGTCCGTGGTGAGTGGAATGGAGATGGCCGGGGGAGAGCGTGAGCCAGGAGCACAGGCAGGGGCCAGAGGGCAGAGTGGGGGCGGCCTTGGCTAGTTGTCGGTCACAGGAAAGAGGACGCCACAGATAGGCCCTAATGGGTAAGTCTGTGTGTTCTGAGGGGAGAAGATGGTAGGATGAAAAAGTGTCTGCATGTTCCCTAAGTGTGAGGAAGTTTATTGGCTGAGAGCTGGGTAGGTGTGGGGTGGCACTGAAAAGTGGAGGAAGGTTTGAGGCAAAAAGCCCTGAGGTAGACACACGAAGTAGGGGTCTTGGAGAAGAGGAAGGTGGGATGCTAGAGAGTGGCAGGGTGGCTGCAGTGCTGACAGTCCTTCTGACTTTGGAGTCACAAGTGCAGAGGTCACTGTGCTTGGACGAGAGACGTTGTTCCTTGTGTTCTTGCTTTACTCTTAGAGAACGTGGGATAAGACTTAAAAGATTTAGTCGATAAAACATGATACTGGGGTGAAGCCTTAGGAGCCCTGGTGGCATAGTGATAAGCGCTCGGCTGCTAACCAAAAGGTCGGCAGTTCGAATCCACCAGCCGCTCCTTAGAAACCCTATGGGGCAGCTCTCTTCTGTCCTATAGAATCTCTATGAGTCCGAATCGACTTTACGGCAATGGGTTTTTGATTTGGGTGAAGCCTTAGCAAATAATTTGCCCATTTCATCCATGAAAAAAGGAAAGGAAAAACAATTCTCAAAGTTACATTTATATACATATATAAATATATATATATATAAAACGTATGTATGAAAAAAAACTCACCAGTTTCTGTCGAGTCATGCTGACTCATAGTGACCCCATCTGTGTCAGAGTAGAACTGTGCTCCATAAGGTTTTCAATGTCTGGTTTTTTCAGAAGTAGATTGCCAGGCCTTTCCTCCAAGGCTCCTCTGGGTGGATTTGAACTCAATTAGTAGCTAAGCACCGAACCATTTGCACCACCCAGGGACTCCATAACATATATAATAACATATATGTATATTATATATATGTATGTGTGTGTGTGTATGTATATAAAATATATATAGCTAAATATTTTCACAGAACAATTTTTATGACAACTGATAAGTCTAACTGGGGAGAACAATTCTTTGTTTTGTGCTCACGTGAATAATGCAATCTGTTAAACACAAAGGTAATTTGAGGAGACAGTATGAGAATGGAGAGTCCATTATGGGAAGGCCACCTTTCCTTTTGGCTAAGATGAAATATTGCAGAGATTGGTCGGGATTCCTTCATAAAGTGCTTTAATTATACCTGACAACAACCAGTGAGTTTGCCAGGGGCAGATGTGGTGGGGCCATGAGGGGGCTGTGACCTCCTGACAGACGCGTATTGTCCCTTAGAGAAGCTGTGAGGTGATGCCACCCTGCCGTGGTCCTTGTGTTCCACTGTGCTGGTCTGACCCCAAACTCCTTCCACCCTGCCTCACATGCCTGCTCCCTTGACTCTAAAGGTTTGGCCGCAAAGTCTGTCTCCTGCTGACCGTCCTCATCAGCGCCATCTCAGGAGTTCTCATGGCCATTGCACCGAACTACCCATCCATGCTGTTCTTCCGCCTGCTGCAGGGGCTGGTCAGCAAAGGCAGCTGGGCATCAGGCTACACTCTAAGTAAGTATTGGCTGACTGAGGTGTCCACGGCTTCCCTTGGACGATGGAGCTCAGATGAGTGCGTAGAATGGGATGGAGTCATTCATGAAGGTGTTCTTTTTTAGGGAGGTGACATTTACAGAGTCTAGAGAAATTGTGCCCGCACTAGGTGTATGTTGTTCATGCGACGGGCAGAGGATGGTGTCAGAAACCGAGCTGAGCTGAGAGAGCAGAGCTGCCAGGTACCAGAGTAGCTGATCAAGACAATGAGCCAATATCATCACTGAACAAATCTGATCAAAGATTCCCTAGAAGAACCCTGATCAAAAGGGGGAAATGCGAGCAGAATTTCAAGTTTTCATGGACTCCACTCCAGACTTCCTGGAGTTGGATGAACCTCTGAAACTATTGCCCTGAGATCATCGTTAAACCTTAAATCAAAAATATCCCCTGAAGTCTTCTTAAAACCAAACAATAGTTTAGCTTAACTAGTAAAGAATGTCTGCCTTGAGCATTATGCTCTTTTAAGAACCATTTATATGGGATCAAACTGATAACAACAACGGGAAAGCCTAGATAGGAACCTTAGGGAGCAGGAATTTATGTTAATGGGGGAGGAACAACTCAGAAAAGGAGGGTGAGAATGGTTGCACAACTCGAAGAATGTAATCAGTGTCCCTGAACTGTACATGTAGAGACTCTTGAATGTTGTATGTTTTGCAACAACGACAAAATAAATAAAATTACATAAAAAGCAAAGCAAAACAAAAGAAAGTATACGAAATAAAAAAAATAAAGAGTCAAGGAGCCAGATGAAAGTGAGAGTCAGGTTACTTTAATCGCTGACATCAATAGTTTAAGCGAGAGAGTGCTGACTCCTCTCATTCCATTTGTCCCGTGTGACAGCGGCACGAGAGAGTCAGGTGGATGAGGGCAGACGCGGGCAGACGCGGGCATCCGGGAGCGTCTTCTGTGAAGGGAGCCTCGAACTAAAGTCTCCTGCTGCTTTGTGAACCAGGGGCCAGGCGGAGGGAGAGAGAGGGCTAGGAGGGGAAAAGTGCTGAGTACTAAGTCAGAGTGGGAGAGAGTCTCCAAGGCCTCCCCCACATTAAGGAGGTTTCAGCACAGGTGCCTGAGGAAGGCCTCTGCCGAGGGCCCTCGATAAAGACGCCCCCATACGGAGGTGCCTGGACTAGGAATTCAGATAGGTGTCAGAGCACGGCCGGCAGGAGGGCCTGAGTTCTTGGCTGCAACGGCCTCCGGGCCCTCCAACACACTGGCCATGCACCAAAGCTGGGTGAGCAGGGCGCCTCCCGCATGGAGCCTACCAGGCCCAGCCTTGTAATTGCCTGTGGTGGGGCTTGCAAGATTTTGCCCAGGAGCTGGACTCCTCATATGGTGTAGGTATGTTGTTCCCGTTGTGACTGTGTGCCGTTGAGGGGACCCTTACTCACAGCGACTCTACAGGACAGAGTAGAACTGCCCCATAGGGTTTCCAAGGAGCAGCTGGTGGACTTGAAGTGCCGACCTTTTGGTTAGCAGCCGAGCTGTTAACCAGTGCGCCACTAGGGCTCTCCCAAAATTTGTTGTCTCTTTCTTTTTTACAACCGAGGGACACTTAAATAGATCCATGTTTCCATATCTACTAATCCACTTGGGAAGCAAAGAGACCACATGTGGTGTATGTACAGCATTGGGGAGGGGGTGTAGGAGGAGGCCAAAGACGGGGGAGTGTTTTACAATTCCAAATATCAAAGAATCAGCATCTCCTCAAAAGAAGTACAACAAACTCAACTGGTTCAAATGGCACTCAAGAGTTAGCCGAGGAAAGAAGACGGGAGGAAATAATAGAAGGATAAACATCATGACTGAAAGGAAATTGAGGCGAAAACCAATGTGAATAATTCCACATATTAACTTTTTTTCCCCCAAAATTTTCCATAAAGAGTAAGAATAGAAAACTGAAAATTACTTTCCTGGAGGAAAGTAAGAGAAAAGAGTCACCTCTTCCTTCCTGAGCCAGAGAAGCAGTGAGGACAATCCACGTGTTTGCTTATTTGTAGCGAAGAGAAAAGAAACAGCCGTGTCTTGCCAGCTCTGAAAACCACGACTGTGGCATTCGGAGAACTAGTTCACTAGGGCAAAGGGGTCCATGTTACGTTCCTACCTTGAGAAACCGCTAACACATTGTTAAGTTTAGTTCGCTCGGTAAATACTTACCAAAAACCCGTGACAGACTGCGTGCTGAATATACATTACACGACACAGGGTTCCGAGGATTAACCCCGAGTCAAATCCACACTCCAACATTAAACAGCTGGGTGACCTTGGGCAATTTACATAATCTCGCTGTGCCTTAGTTTCCTCAACACGGAATAACAGCGGTGCCTTCCTCCTGGGGCTGCTGGGAGGAGTAAGTGAGTTGCACTAGGTACTGTCTTAGAACAATGCCCGCCACAAACAATCTCTCAGTAAGTGTTTCTATTACTGGGTGGCAGGCAGGGTACTAGGTGCTAGAGATAACCAAGATAGATAAAGTGTTATTCCTACCTTCACCGGGATCAAAGGCTAGAGAGGGAGACAGATGCCAAAATGAGTATTTTCGTATAATAAGAGCTGGGGACAGTGGCAGTTCAGTGGTAAAATTCTTGCCCTCCGTGCAGGAGACCTGGGTTCGATTCTTGGCCAATGCGCCTAACGCGCGGCCACCACCTGTCTGTCAGTGGAGGCTTTCGTGTTGCTAGGAAGCTGAACAGGTTCCAGCTGAGCTTCCAGACTAAGGCAGACTAGGAAGAAAGGTCTGGCAATCTACTTCCAAAAATCAGCCAACGGCGTGGGGGGAGTCCTATGGATCACGACGGTTGGATCCCCGACTGATCATAGGGATGGCTCGAGACTGCGTAGCATTTCGTTCTATTGTGCATGGGGTTGCTGTGAGTTGGGGGCCGACTTGATGAGAGCTAATGACAGCAACGGCATAGTAAGAGCTATGGCCGACTTCTATTCCTGTGACTGCTTCACTTAGTTGCAGGAAAACACCTCTGCTGGTCCCTTCTTGCCTCACCTGCTGCTTCTTCCCAGCCTCCTTCACTGGAGCCTCCTCTTCTCCCTGACCCCTTAATGTTGCAGGACCCCTGGACTTTGTCCCTTTCGTTCCCACCCCTCTTCTGCCTGCAGCTGCACCCCACCCCCTACCCGATTCCCGTTGCTTGGGTCAAACATCTCATAGTGAACACTAACACCACCTTCTTTTCCTTACACCCCATCTCCAATCCATCAGTGAGTCCTGTTGACTTTCCTTCCAAAACACACCCAGCATCCCACCCACTTCACTGCCTCTGCATTTCCTCCTGGTTCGAGCCACCAGCATTGCTTCACTTCCAAATTCATCTCCCCGAGGCACCTGTCAGTTCTCAGCTCAGAATGCTACCTTTGAAGTCCACTTCCTCACCTCCTCAAGTCTCGGCTCAGATGTCACCTTCTCATCAACTCTACCCTGACCGCTCTTTGTAAAATGCAACACCTCCACTCTCCCCGTCACCCTCACCCCATCTTCTCCCCCTCATGATGCGTATCACATTCTGACATACAGCGTTTTTGTTAGCTGTCATTGAGTTGGCCTTGACCCACGGCAACCCCGTGTGTTACAGAGTAGAACTGCTCCATAGAGTTTTCTTATGGAAGCAGATCTCTAGGCCTTTCTTCCGTGGCATTGCTGGTTGGGTTTGAACGACCAACCTTTGGGTTAGCAGCCAATTGCAAACTGCTTGTGCCACCTGGGCTCCCTCCATAGTGTATAACTTACCTACTTGTGATATTTATGTCTGTCATCTCTCACGAGACTGTAAAGACCACGAGGGCAGGGCACCTTGTCTGTTTTGCTCACCAGTGAATCCCAAACACCTAGAATACTGCTGGATGCGTAGCAGGCACTCAAAGGTATTTGTTAAAACAGTGAACGCTCCTCGTGTTGTGGTAAATATCTTTCCTCAGCCTGGAGCTTATAGAAGGCCAGTGTACCGAGTCCTGAGGTCTGAACAGGAGGAATGGCATGACAAGCAAGGGGACAAGAAAAGGGACAGTTAGAGAACAGCTAGAGAACAGAGGAGCGTGGCATGTGTGGGTGAGAGCTGGTGTTAGTGGGACACACGGAGGAAGGGAGCCTTCCAGGCAGTGAGGAAGGAGGGATGAGGGCACAGGGGAGGGCCCCTGGAGCAGGGCAGGAAGGCAGGTGAGGGCTCGGGGGTGCAGGAGAAGAACAGAAAGGATTGGGGACATGCAGCTTCTGAAAGCAGCCTCTGGCTTCTCTTCCTCCTGAGGAACTCACAAGACGACCTCGTGTTCCTCTCAGTCACAGAGCTGGTGGGCCCGGACTACAGGAGGACGGTGGCCATCTTGTACCAGATGGCCTTCTCGGTGGGCCTGGTGCTGCTTGCGGGCGTCGCCTATGCCCTGCCCCACTGGCGGTGGCTCCAGCTGGCCGTCTCCCTGCCCGTCTTCCTCTTCATGTTCTACTACTGGTGAGTGCTTCCTGCCCTGGTGGGCAAGGGGCTTCTCTCTGCCCTGGAAGGCTGTGCCCTGTGGCTGCTCCGCCCGCTTTCCGCTCACGGACCCCTGGCCTCCACCTTGCTGGCCTGGGCAGGTGAGAGCGCGCCTGTGAGTTTCCAAAAGCCCCTTGTACCCGAGATTCGCAACCTTTGAGCTATAACGTCCTAGCCCCATGTGAAACAGACAGCACGGTCTCTATCTGATTTTAAAGGTTCCTGAATGCGTTTTGTTTCGTTTTGAAAATAGCTGAAAACTGTGCAGTGGAATTAAGAGGAGATGCCCCGCTTTGGTGGCGTAGTGGTTAAGTGCTATGGCTGCTAAGCTAAAGGGTGGCAGTTCGAATCCCCAGGCCTTCCTTGGAAACCCTATGGGGCAGTTCTACCCTGTCCTATAGGCTCACTATGAGTTGGAATCAACTTGAAGGCAATGGGTTTGGTGTTTTTTTTTTTTTTTTTTTTTTTAGCCCCGCTGTGAAGCAGGGTGGGAGTTGGGTTGGGCACGTACGGTGTGAGGGGGTGTTCCCAGCGGGAGAAGTTTGCTGGCCCCTCTCCCTGAGATGAGGGCCACGTAGGAAGTGGGCGCTCCCGTTTCATCTGCTAACCTCAGCAGGTTCCCACACCCCGAGCACCCGTGTGGCCCCGTCACTCCGGTCAGCACTTCAAAGCAGCCTTGTTCTGGGAAAAATGCCGAGCAGTGACTCTCTGTGCCTGCAGGTGTGTGCCCGAGTCTCCGCGGTGGCTGTTATCACAGAAGAGAAACACGGAGGCGGTCAGGATCATGGGCTACATTGCCCGGAAGAATGGGAGACCGTCTCCTGCTGATTTAAAGGTGGTAACTGCCGATGTAAAGGGGGTCCTCACGCCCGGTGGGGGAGTCACCGAATGTTCGTTTGGGTTTATGATTCCGGAGGAGTTCCTGGTGGTGCAAATGGTGAATGCCGTCAGCTGCCAACCGAAAGGTTGGCGGTGCTAGTCCACACAGAGATGCCTCAGAAGAAAGTCCTGGCAATCTACTTCCAAAAAATCAGCCACTGAAAACCCCATGGAGCACAGTTCTGCCCTGATACACGTGGGGTCACTGTGAGTCGGGATAGGCTCAACAGCAACTGCTTCTGATTTGGGAAATGGCTTCTGGGGTGGCCTGTGAGCAGGACAGCCATGAAGGGGTGCCTGCCTCCTGGGTGGCTGGCCCCAGGCGGCTCCTTGGAGGGTTCCGGTCTCTGTGGCTCTGTGGGGTTGACCCTCTCGCTCTCCCCAGATGCTGTCCCTCAAGGAGGAGGACATCCCTGGAGAGCTGAGGCCGTCCCTCGCCGACCTGTTCCGCACGCCGCGCATGAGGAAGCATACCTTCATCCTGCTGTACCTGTGGTGAGGGCGCCCACACATTCCCAGAGCCGAGTCGCAGCCCGCCCGCACACTAAAGACAGTGAACTGACTCCCCGGAAGGGGAGAGGCGTGAAAAGGGGTGTTCAAATTTTCTGAGGGTTCAAAAAGGAGCCCTGGTGGTGCAGTGGTTAAGCACTCGGCTGCTAATCTAAAGGATGGCGAGAAAGATGTAGCAGTTTGCTTCCATAAAGATTACAGACACCCTATGGGGCGGTCCTACTCTGTCCTATAGGATCACTATGAGTCGGAATCAAGTGTTTGAAGAGGTCTTAAAAAGACATTCTTATTTCTCTCTGGAGGATCAAATAGTGGGAAAAAGGCTTCAGTTTAGTCAGAAGGATTTGCCAGATACGAGGCGTTAACAGTGAGCTGACTGAAACCTGCTAAGGGGCTTCCGAGGGCTCCTCAATGCCATCGGTCTCGTCTTTTGGGAATAACAAGTCTTGACTTAATGTCAGAAACGGGTGAGATTTCGGTGACTCCCAGTAAATTCAAGGCTGAAGGTCCTTTCCTTGCATCTAAACATGTTACAGACTGTACCTGAAAGTAGCTGTGCTTTGATCATCCATTGGCTGGAAAATTCTTATATACACGTGGACCCACCCGCATGCCTCTTGCAAAAACTCCACAGCCCCCAGGAAACTGCATCCTCTCTGGGGAAGGAGCCCCCACGCAGCCTGGGTTGCTGTCATGGGAAGAAATCCCCCACCTTTACTGCGTCCAAGTGGTGGTACTGGTCAACCCATTCACATACAGGTTGTCTCCTAAACCCTCCCCACACGTAGGGCAGAGCACCTGGACTCTGCCCCCGACGGCCCCAACAGGAGCGGCTCTGCTACGTGTTTATATTTCCACGGAAGACTTTTACTGGAACAAAGGATCCGAACTAATAGGGTGGTGGCTGGCACATAGTAGATACTCAGTAAATATTTATTGAAGGTTGAATGAATAACCACTGTTCTACAGAATCCATCCCATGTTCTTTAGCACACCAGGCTCACCCTGACCTCTCTGTGCCTCACCGCTCACCAACCCCATAGCCTGCTGCCCCGTAAGTGAGTCCCCCACCCCAGCCACATGGTTGTGCCTTTGCAGATATACCCTGCCTCCAACCACGTACCTGGTGGATATCTCTACTGGTACTTTCTTACTGTTCTGTAGGTTCACTATGAGTTGGAATCCACTCAACGGCAGTGGGTTTGGTGTTTGGTTTTTTCTATTCACAACGTCTCTTCTGTGCAGTGGTCCTGGACCACTGCAGAGAGGAAGAATGGTTTCCTCTCCTACACTGGGAGTCCATGGACGGGAGGTTGGAGATTCAAGTCCATCCAGAGGCACCTCAGAAGAAAAGCTTGGCAATCTGCTTCTGAAAATCGGCTTCGAAAACCCTGTGAAGCACAGTTCTATTCTGCACACATGGGGCACCATGAGTCCCAGTTGACTCCACGGCAACTGGTGGTACCCCTACGTTGCCTGGTTTTGCCCTCCCCAGCTGACCTTCCTCCAGGTGGGTCCTTGGTGGCACCCTGGACTCTTGTGTTCTCTTACACCCACCACCCAGGCTTGCAGCAAATCCTGCCAGCTCTGTCTGGGAATTATCTTCAGACCCTGCCGCTTCTCATCAAGCCCCTCTTGCTTCCCTGTTCTAGTGGTCTGATCTCCTGCCTGCGTGCCTGCAGGCGCCTCCCAGCTGTCTCTGCTTCTGCTCTTGTCCCCACTGTCCATGTGCCACAAAGCAGGCAAACGTGTCCTGTAAGTGTCAAAGAACAATTGTACCGGGCAGTTTGGAAGAGGCAAGGACAAGTTTATCCAGCAATTATTTCGAGGGAGGCGGAAGGGCCGAGGGAAAGGAGGGAACAGGCCGTGATGGGGGAAGGATAGGGCTGCAGGGAGGAGAGAGACCAGCCCCACTCCGCTGAGACAGAGAAGCCAGAGGTTTTTTTAAAGAAAGCCAAAGTTGGGGGGTGTTGATCTGGGAGTTTGCAGTTAGGGCCGGTTGGCTGGGAATGTTTTCTTTTCTGGTGATAAGTCCTCCTGGAGAGGGCAGGCAGAGGGAGATAAGGGATTCTTGGGTTAGGTGTGAGCATGGTCAGGATGTAAAGCAGGAAAACGGCAGTCTGAAGTTTGTTTAAACAGAGGCGATCATTCAGCCCATCTTGGTCAGCTGTTTGCAGTAAGCCCTTCTCTGAAGGTGAAGGGATTTCTTTCACCACGCAAGCTCTCTCGGATCACTGTTGTTTTCACTGTGACCCATGCATGCAGAATAGAACTGCCCTATAGGGTTTCCAAGGCTGTGACCTTTTGGAAGCAGATCGCCAGGCCTGTCTTCTGAGGCACTTCTGGGTGGGTTTGAACTGCCAACTTTTCAGCTAATAGTCGAGAGCGTTGCTGTTTCTGCCACCCAGGGACTCCCCAGGATCATAGGACTCAGATAAAATTTAACTTTGACATAAAGCTTATCCGGCCATGTCACTTGTCTGCTCACACCCCACAATGGCTTCCCACCCCACTGGGAATAAAATCAAACTCCTTTTCATAGCCTCCAAGGCCTCAGATGATCTGACCCCTGGACAGCTTCTCCTCCTCCCCTTCTTTTCATAATAGCAGTTGGGAGGCATGTCCATGATTCCAGGCTGTGTGACCTTCAGAAAGTTTCTTAACCTCTCTGTAACTGTTTCCTCATCAGCAAATTGGAGTAATAATGGTACCTAGAGTCCCTGATTGGTGTAAATGGTTAACACGCTTGGTTGCTAGCAAAAAGGTTGGTGGTTTGAGTCCCCACAGAGGTGCCTTGGAAGAAAGTGCTGGTGATCTATTTCTGAAAAATCAACCGTTGAAAACCCTATGCAACACGGTTCTAGTCTGATACACATGGAGTTGCCAAGAGTCATAATCCACTCAGTGGCAATTGGTTTTTGTTTTTTTACCTTTCCACCAGAAGTCCCTGGGTGATGCAAACGGTTAAACGCTCAGCTACTAACCAGAAGGCTGGAGGCTCAAATCCACCCAAAGGTGCCTCAGGAGAAAGGCCTGGTGATATACTTCTGAATAATCAGCCGTTGAAAACCCTATGGACCACAGTTCGACTCTGACACACATGGGGTCGCCATGAGTTGAAGTCAACTCAAAGGCAACTGTTTTTCTTTTTTTTAATCTCATAGGTATGATGGAATGATTAATGAGATAATGTGTGTAAGGGGCTTAGAACAGCATCTGACACAGATCAGGAAATGCTCAATAGCCATAAGTCGTTATTTTTCCCATCACTTTAATGTGTACATGTGATTCATGGGTTCTGCCAAAAGATGGCAGACCTGTGCATTTCTTAACTTGTCTTTTGACAAGAAAATCAAGGTTATACATTCCTTTCTCTTAAGTCAATCTCTTTATCATTAATGTGTGACCTGTTCCCACTTAACTGGCTCAATGGCCTGGGGATTTGCCCTGGGCTCAGCCTCACCTAAATTCACTAGGTTGTAGGTGAATGCCTTCCTCCTTGTTCTCCTGACCCCTTGTCCAATCAGGAATAAATTGAGACTAGAAACAAAAGCATCTTAATACTTCTCTGGGTGAAGCTTTATAAGACAAGTTGATACGTTACCTAGACACCTCAGTTGTAGACTCAGTTTTGGAGCTGGTAGGCAACTTACAAACACACATTTCTGATTGACCAAAATTTCTTCTCACAGTGTAAACACCAATAGAAACACAAAATGGTTTTAGCCTCCAAAATAATATAGTTTTCCCAGAAGTGACACATGGGACTCGAAACGTTGACTCGAGCGAGAGTGATTTAGCTGGTCCCCATCAGTCTGTATGCTAGATCCAGTAACGTTGCTATGTTGTTGTTGTTAGCTGCTGTTGAGCTGGCCCTGACTCGTGACGACTCCACGCACAATGGAAAAAAACACTGCCCCGTCCTGTGCCATCCCCATAGTTGGTTGTGGATCAGACCATTGTGATCCATAGGGTTCTCGCTGGCTGATTTTCAGAAGTAGATCACCAGGCCTTTCTTCCTAGTCTATCATAGTCTGGAAGCTCTGCTGAGCTTGTTCAGCATTATAGCGACCCGCAAGCCTCCATAGACTGACAGGTGGTAGCCATGCATGGGGTGCATTAGCTGGAAATCAAACCCAGCTCACCCGCATGGAAGGTGAGAATTCTATCACTGACCCACCACTGTCTCTGTTGCTATACTGTCCTCGAATATGGATAGAGATGTCATGCAGTGGTCTGTAGGGGTGAAAAAGAGTGAGTGAATAGAGCCCACTAAAGACAGTGTGGTATGATGGAGAGAGCCCCACAGTGGAGCGGGAAGACTTGGCCAGAGTTTCTGCTCTTGGTCTCTGGATTCATGGCCTTGGGCAAGATGATGATGATGATGATGACCACGATGACAATGTCAACAACAAATGCTCTTCTTCACTCAGTGTTTACTATGTCCCAGAAACTAGACCAAGCACTCTTTATCCATTAACACAATGGACACTCTTGACAAACTGACATGGTAGGTACTGTTATTATCTCCATTTACACATGAGGAAATTGAGGCGCAGAGGCTGGATAACTTACTCATGGTCACACGGTAATAAAGCAGTGCTGGAGCAGACAGACTGATGCCTGAGCCTGCTTACTGGTCCCCTGCATTCTCCCGCCGACCTGCTTGTAGGCTGCCAGAGCACTGACGGAGGTCAGGTTGGTACAGTGCTCAGTGCAGTGCCAGGCGCTCATCATTGGTGGTCTCCAGGAAACCTGGATATGTGCCGAAAGTCATGCGCTCATATACATTGTGAACAGAATTTCTCATCAAGCGCCCTTCTGGGGCACCCTCCTGACTTTTGTCCCCTTCCTATTCTGCTCTACGACGTTCTAAACCAAGTGATGGATGCTTCTCTCTAGCTGCTAGCGTCTTTCTTCCCTGCCACCAGAAACCCGCGGTGCCTCCTTTTCCACAGGGCTTGCCTTTGACACGCACTCTCCTCTTTGCTCAGGTTCACAAGCGCCGTGCTTTACCAGGGACTCATCATGCATATTGGGGCCACCGGTGGGAACCTCTACCTGGACTTCTTCTACTCCTCTCTGGTTGAGTTCCCCGCGTCCTTCTTCATCCTCTTCACCATCGACCGCATCGGCCGCATCTACCCACTGGCTGTGTGGAATCTGGTGGCGGGGGTAGCCTGCTTCGCTATGGTGTTTATTTCACATGGTGAGTTTGTCCATTTTTATCATCTTCCGGGTAACTGAATTTTGGGAGTAGCGTTTGAACTCTTTGATAAGCCTCTGGAACAAGAACATAGACGGAGCGTTACCTTTGAACTGCTGACTTTTTGGTTAGCAGCCAAGCTCTTAACCACCGTGCCACTGGAGCTCCTAGTGTTACCTTAGTCTACAATTTTTTTTAATTAAAAAGAAATTAAATTGAGGTATAACATATATACAATGAGCAAATGATAAGTGTACAACTCAACGAATTTTTGCATCTGTATACACCCTGGGTGACACAAATGGTTAAGGGCTTGACTATTAACCAAAAGGTTGGTGGTTCAAACCCACCCAGGGGTACCTCAGAAAACAGACCTGGCAATCTGCTTCTAAAAGGTCACAGCCTTGAAAACCCTATGGAGCAGTTCTACTCTGCACACCTGGGGTTGCCATGAGTCAGAATTAACTTGACAGCAAATACAAAACAACATATACCTAGGTACTATGACCTAGGTAAGATGGAGAACATTTCCAATACCCCAGAAGTCACCCTCATGCTCCTTCAAGATCAATACCCACCACACCTGCCAGGATAACTAGTACTCTGACCCCTGTCACCACGAGTTAATTTTGACTGTCTTTGTACTTCATGTGGAGCCCTGGTGGCACAGTGGTTAAGAGCATGGCTGCTAACCAAAAGGTCAGCAGTCCGAATCCACCAGCCGCTCCTTGGAAACCCTATGGGGCAGTTCTACTCTGTCCTATAGGGTCGCTATGAGTCGGAATTGACTCAACAGCAATGGGTTTACAGGGTGTACTTCATGGAAATGGAACCGTACCAAATATCCTCTTTCTTTCCCCCTCTGACTTCAGCCACTCATCCTTGTGTCGGAGATTCATCCATGTTGTTACATGAGAGTGTAGTCTGTACTTTTTAATGATTGTCTAGCATTCCATTATATGAATATAACACTATTTATCCACTCTAGTGTTGACTACATTTGTATGGTTTCCAGAGTCTATTGGGGTTAAAGCTGCAATAACGTTCTTGTGCCTGTCTGTTGAGTACATATCTAGGAGGCATTTGCTGGGTCAGTGGGTAGGCAGATGTTTAGCTTTGGGACATAATGCCAAACAGCTTTCCAAAATGGTTGTACCAAGTTATACTCCCACCAGCAATATGTATGAGAGTTCCAATTGTTTCACATCCTCAATAGCGCTTGATTTTGCTACAATATACACAGAAAAAATACACCAATTCAAGTTTCTACATATACAATTCAGTGATATTGATTACATTCTTTGAGTTGTGCAACCATACACACTCTCCTTTTCTGAGTTGCTCCTCCTGCATTAATATAAACTCACTTCCCCTTAAGGTTCCTATCTACTCTTTAAAGTTAATGTTGTCAGTTTGATTCCATATAGATAGATCTTGAAAGACACAATACTCAAGGCAGACATTCTTTACTAGTTAAGCCCAACTGTTATTTAGTTTTTAAGAAGGCATCAGGGAATATTTTTCAATTAAGTTTTTTTTTTAAAGATTAACTTAGGCCAATAGTTTTAGGGGTTCATCCAGTCTCCATGGATCCAGATAATCTGGATTCCATGAGAATTTGAAATTCTATTCTTAATTTCCCCCCTTTTGATCAGAATTCTTCTACAGAACTGTTGATCAAAATGTTCAGTAATACTGCTAGTCTTTTCAATATTAGCCATTCTGGTGGATGTGTACTTTAGTCTATAAGTCTTACAATCCAAGATCAATCAAAGTAGATTAATCTTAGCTTTAATTTGAGGACATAAACTGCTTTTTCACATTCCTTGCTTTTGGAAGTGTTGTTAAGTAAATACTGAGGTGGATTTGTTATTTCCTCAGATTTTATTGCTTATGCTTTGCACTTGTTGGTTTAATGAGTCATTTTGGTAGGCTTTTGTGCATGTATTGTGGAAAATGCTTCATGAAATCTGTAAGCGCAAGAAGCAGACTATGTAGACTAGTGTCTTAATTTTCTGGAGCTGCCATAACAAAATACCACAAAGTGGGTAGCTTTAAAGAACAGAAATTTATTGGCCCACATTTCTGGAGGCTAAACATCTAAACCAGGGTATTGACTGTGTCTATTCCTTCTGAGGGGCCCTGGTGGCACAGTGGTTAAAAGCTTGGCTGCTAACCAAAAGATAGGTAGTTCAAATTCACCAGTTGCTACTTGGAAACCCTATGTTCCATGCTTCTCTCCTAGTTCCTAGTGGCTTCTGGCAATCCTTGGCACTCCTTCCTTGTAGACAGAGCCCCACATACTGTCTTCCCTCTGCGTGTGACTCTGTTTCTGTGTTGGCTCCACCCTTTTATAAGACACCACTCTAAAGAGGTTAGAATTAGGACCCACCCTACTTCAGCATGACCTTGTTTAGCTTAACTGATAATATTTGCAAAGGGAATCCCTGTTTCCCCAGAGAAGGTCACATTCACAAGTGCAGGGGTGAGAACTTCAAGATATTATTTTGGGGGACAGAATTCAATCTGTAACACTCAGGCTGGAAATAAAATGGGGTGGATAAGATAAACTCAATATTCTTCTCCCTTCTTTCATGGGGTGAGAACAAAGCAGACAGGAAAAAGGCAGAGTGGATCTGAAATAGGTATTACCCACAGTCTTAGTTACCTAGTGCTGCTATAACAGAAATACCACAAGTGGGTGGCTTTAAAGAGCAGAAATTTATGTCCTCACATTCCTGGAGGCTAAGAGTCCAAATCAGGGTCTTGACCATGTCAATTCCTTCCTTTCATTAGCTTTGGGTATTCCTTGGTTTGTAAAGAATCCTCACAAGGTATTTACCCTCCCCCATGCATATACCTCTGTGTCTAATCTTCTCGTTTTAAACTCAGAAGTGATTACATTTAGAACTCACCCTACTCAGGTATGATTTAATCAACATAACAAACAAAAAACCCTATTTCCAAATAGCATTATATTCACAGGGATGGGGGTTAGGATTCAAACACATCTTTTGAGGAGACACAGTTTAATCCATAACACTCATTTTCTTCCCAAGCTCCTTGTTTTGGATTTGTGGGACACTGGAATCCTGGGTAATACTCAATGACTGGGTACATATATGTGTGTGTGTATATATATATACATATATATATATATATGTATGCACACACACATATATATACCCATTATATAACCATCGCTGTTGAGTCGATTCCGACTCCTAGTGACCTTATAGGACAGAGTAGAACTGCCCCATAGAGTTTCCAAGGAGCACATGGTGGATTTGAACTGCTGACCTTTTGGTTAGCAGACATAGCTCTTAACCACTACGCCACCAAGGTTTCCATATATATATATATGTATAACAACACTGAATACCAAGAAGGAGAACTCTGTTTTGGGTCTATTCTCCCATCCTTGGCAGAACTCGAGCATTGTCTTCTCTGGTGCTGCCTCTTTCTCAGACTATTTTGGGTTTAAAACATGTTGGGAAATAAACACTAGATTGAGAATTAGAACTTTGGTGTATCTGATATATATTCTAGGACTACGGCCTAAAGGAAGTACATTTATAGTACCTTCTATGTCCAGGCACTGTGCTAGCAGCTATAGCATTGTATAATGATTAAGGCCAACATTTATGGGGCATCACAATGGACATTAGACATATATTATCTCTCATTCCCACAACAATCTATAAAGTTATTTGCATTTTACAGCTGAGGAAATCAAAGCACAAAGAAGAAAATAACATGTCCAAGTTTATACAGCTGGCAGGAGGCAGAGCTGAGATTCCAAAAAGCACATTCTTTCCTCTGTACAATGGAACCTTCCCTAATGTGTCGTTATCAAGTCCCGTGATCTCTCTGGGACTCTGTTTATTTGCCCCAGAAGGAAAGGTTTAGATAAGACAATCTTTCAGGCTCTTCCAGCTCTAGAAGTCAAACACCATCCAATGTGGCTACCTGTCATAACTTGGTGAGCCTAAGTCCCCACTTTTCCCACACCCTCTTTGTGTCTCCTATCCAGAGCTATACTGGTTAAATATCGTGGTAGCTTGCATTGGCCGACTGGGAATCACCATTGTGTTCCAAATGGTCTGCCTAGTGAATGCTGAGCTGTATCCTACATTTATCAGGTGAGTGCATTGAAGGAGTGGTAGCCATTCAAATAGCTGTGTTCCAGCCAGGCTGAATGAGGACTAACATTCACAAGCATTTCCTCAAGCACCCCCCAAGGACTGATCAGTCTGGACATTGAGTGGCATTGTTACTAAGGCATGCTTAACAGGCATTTTAAGGGCAGTGAAACTAGTCTGTATGATACCGTCATGGTGGATTCATGACATTATACATTTGTCAAATCTTAGAAATGTACAACCCAAAGAGTGAACCCTAATGTAAACTATTCTTGTTGTTAGTTGCTGTTGAGTTGGCGCCAACTCATGACGACCTTATGTATAACAGGACGAAATGAAACGTTGCCTGGTCCTATTGGTTCATTGGATGTAACAAATGTACCACACTATTGCAGGGTGTTAATAACAGGAGAAACTGTGTGCAGGGGAGAAAGAGGTTATATGGGAACTCTCTGTAATTTCTGCACAATTTTTCTGTAAACCTGAAACTGCTCTAAAAAAAAATAAAGTCTATTACTGGTGTGAACACTGAATTTGAGATTAAAATGAATGTAGCTATGGATACAGGACAGAAAATAAATGTTACAAATGTGATAATAAAGAAATACTCTAAGATTTTAATGGAAAGAGAGAGAGAGAATTGTCAGATGTGATGTAAGTAAGACCCAAAAGGATAAAACTGTTCTCAAGTAATTTAGCCATGTTCTTAAAACAAAGCTCAAGATTATTTGTAGGAATACAAAAATATCCAGCACCGAACAAGGTAAAATTCACAATGTCTGGCAACCAATCAAAAATTACCAGGCACGCAAAGAAGCAGGCATAGAGAAGCTACATCAAGGAGAAAAATAAACCAGTCTAAATTGGCCCAGAAATGACACAGATGATAGTCTTAATAGACAAGGACATTAAAATAGTTATTGTAACTATATTCTGCATGTTCAAGAATGTAGAGAAAAACTGAATATGTTAAGTGAAGATGTGAAATATATATATATATATAGTGAATTCCTTAAAGGTCACTAATGGTGAATTTTTATATTACTGTATTTTACCAGTGTCAGGGTGAGGTTGCCTTTCTTTTTTTTCCTTAATTAAAAAATTAATCAACTAAAAAAAAAAAAAAAGCAACAGAACCCTGACACTGGAGAGTAAAAAGCCCTGACTCTAATCACTGTTGATCTGATGAGGGCTTTACAGGGGTGGTCCTCAACCTTGATGGCACGTTAAAATCAGTTAGGCCATTTTTTATTTTATTTTTTATTGTACTTTAGATGAAGGGTTACAGAACAAACTAGTTTCTCATTAAACAATTAGTACACATATTGTTTTATGACATTGGTTTACAACCCCATGACATGTCAACACTCTCCCTTCTCGACCTTGGGTTCCCTATTATCAGTTACATGAAATATATTTTAAAGAGACCCAAATTGAGCTTACAGAGATGAAAATTATAATGTCTAAGATGAAAAATACACCAAATGGTTTTAATGGTAGATTAGACATGAAAGGAGAAAATATTAGTGAATTTGAAGACAGTGATAGAAACTATCCAAATGAAACACAGAGAGAATTAGTGAGCTGTGGGACAGACAAATCCAATACATGGAATTGAAGTTCACAAAGGAGAGTAAAAAATGGTGGCTGGGGAGACAGGAAAAATCTTTGAAGAAATAATGGCCAAAATTTTCCAGATTTGATGAAAACTACAAATGTACAGAACCATAAATCTCAATAAATCCCTAGCACAAAAAACATGAGGAAAGGCACATCATAATGAAATTTCTTTAAAGCCAACGATAAAGAGAAAATCTTAAAAGCAGTCAGAGAAAAAACACACATCATAAATATAAACAAAGATAAGAATGACAGCAGATTTCTTATTGGAAACAAAATAAACTCAGATATGGTAGAGCAGCATCCTTAAATTATTGAAAGAAAAAAAAACTGTCTTTACTCATCAAAAATCTTTTGAAAAGGAAGGAAAATAAAGACTTTTCAGACATACAAAAGCCAAAAGGATTCATTGCCAGCAGACCTGCACTACAGGAAATGCTAAGGTTGTTAAGGCACAAGGAAAATGATATCAGATGGGAATGTCGGTCTACACAGAAAATAAAGATCACTGGAATGGCAACTATGTGGGAAAATAGAAATACTTTCCTTTTCTGCTAAATTATTTACTTTAAAAGATAATGAACTGCTTAAAGCAGGGATGGGCAAAATTTTCTTGTATGGGCCTAAATAGTAAGTATTTTAGATTTTGTGAGTCATGTATGTTCTCTGCTGCATATTCTTCTCTGTATGTTTGTTTTTTTACAACCCTTTAAAAATGCAAAAAACCATTCTTAACTCAGAGATTATAACAAAACAGGCTGTAGGTTGGATTTTCCTTGTATGCTGTAATTTGTCAATCCCTGATTTAAAGCAAAAATAACAACGTATTGTGGGATTAATAACATACGTGGAAAGTAAAATGTGTGATAAAATTGGGCAAAGGTTGGAAAAAAATAAATGGAAGTATACTATTTTAAGGTTCATATAGTATAGAAGAAGTAGTATAATATCACTTGAAGCTAGACTGTGATGAGTTAAAGATATGCACCATAAACCCTAAAGAAAAAACAGACAAACAGTTATCACTATTAATCTAACAAAGAAGATAAAATGGAATCATTAAAAATACTAACTCCATAAGAAGGCAGAAAAGGAGGAAAAGAATAACAAAGAACAGATGGGAAAAAAAGGAAGAAAATAGTGATATAATAGATTTTAAACCCATCCATATCAATAATCACAAGAAATACAAATGGTCTAAATACCCAGTTAAAAGGCAGAGATTGTCAGATCAGGCAAAAAGGAGAGATCCAACTGTATGATGTTTATAAGAAACTCACTTTAAATATAAAGACAGAGATAGTTTAAAAATAAATAAAAGTTTGGGAAAGATACTATAAATAGAGATAATATAAAATTAAAACAGTTAAAAACAACATTCCATCCTACCACCAACTGAAAGAAGGCCGGAGTGGCTATATTCATATCAGACAAAGTAGATTTTAGAGCAAAGAATATTACAGGGGAGTATTACAAGGATACAAAGTGTCATTTCAAGTAGACGGTCCCTTTACCTCTTTCCCCTCTAGCTTCTGTGTTCTCCAGTCCTTGGTACCCACTCTCTACCCTTTCCTATCTCTCAGTGAGTATCTGGTCCCCTAATGAAGACTCTCTTCCTCTCAGTTCTCAAAACCTGCTTTGAGGAAATGATCCCCAGCAACTCACAATCAGATAGAAGAAACAACTGGCCACAGCTTAAATATCACCCTCCCAGGAGCATTTTCATTTCAGCAGAGACCTAAGCTTTCAGCTACAGGAAAGAAGCCCTTAATTAGAATTTGAATTATCAGCCTTGTCTTGCTCAACAATTCGCAACTCAACACCAGATCATCCTCTTTAGCACCACTGACCCCCATACAGTTCTAGTCCTAGAAGTGGGAATCCATGTTTTCTTGGAGAGATCTATTTTAGGCTGGCTACCCTGTGGCACAATACTCTTCCATGGGTCATATACACAAGGAAGAGCTTAGCTAATGAGCTCCATTCATTGACCATCACAACTTAACCAATGAGCTCCAATGATGATCCCTCTTTCTCATTAGTCCCCCTTCCTTCCCTTGCTTCCCCGTGTATCTCCTCTAGCGGTCACTTGCTGGCTGTTGAGGTGATGACGTTGTTAGTCAGTCTTTGGTACAGAACAGTCAAGAGTTTCCTCCTGGCCTGACCCAACTCGCAGGGTCCCAGGGCTGAGATAAGCCCAGATCCCACTAGACCCAGTCTCACCCACATGTGATGTTCTCCTACAGAGGACACTGGGATCAGGAGTGGGGTAAAACTGAGGTTCAGAGCAAGGAGTACTTTGTTGTTATCTTTGCCAGGCTTGTAGCAATTCTTTAGGAATTACATGCTTGAGAGCTAGATATGTGAAAGTATAATTTTACAAAGGCAGAGCTCTTCTTCAGCTGCATGGACAATGGGGCAGCTCAGACCAATTCTCACTCTGAGCCTAATAACTCCTCTCAGTAGCAAGTGGGTTAATCCACTCAGCTCCTCCTTACCCCTGCAGTTTGCTTGTGGTGTGCTGACCACCATGGCACCCCCAGCTAGCCACAGTGGCTGGCATTGGGTTTGCTCTAGGTTGAGGTTAACATATGGAAATGAAAATCATTTTTGCTCTCTGTATTTTATCAGGAACCTTGGATTAATGGTATGCTCTTCCCTGTGTGATGTGGGTGGAATCGTCACCCCCTTCATTGTCTTCAGGCTGATGGAGGTTTGGCAAGGCTTGCCTCTCGCGTTGTTTGGTGAGATTCCGTGGGGCATTTATTATTCCTTCTTTCCAGCCTGGCAGTGGGCACAGTGCCTGGTACAGAATGAGTACTCAGGAACTCTGTGTTGAGTGATACTCCCAAGAGAGCTTCCAGAAAGTGAGGATGATGCTTGCTCTTCAGTTGTCACATGGCTCACTCAGTCTTGTGTAGTTCTGTGGGAAAATAAGATGCATTCCTAGAAGGTGAACCAGAGGTTTATGCCCTATGGCTCTAGAATCCAAAAATTCATCTGACAGGACAGAATCTGGGAGACCTTTTGATGGAATCCCCTGCTTTCTTGTGAATTTGACTCCCAACTTGTACATTTAACATGTAATTGCTGGAGGCTTGAGGATGCTAGGAAACCCTGGTGGCGTAACAGTTAAGTGCTACAGCTGCTAACCAAAAGGCTGGCAGTTCAACTCCACCAGGTGCTCCTTGGAAAGTCTATGGGACAGTTCTACTCTGTCCTATAGGTCGCTATGAGTGGGAATTGACTGGATGGCAGCGGGTTTTTTTGGTTTTGAGGATGCTAAATTATCACCCCTCTTCTATTTATGGAGCTTAACAATTGAGAGTAGATGGGGATCAAAGTACAGTATCAGTTTTACTGGTGATAAAGTTGGATCAGAGAAGGAGGAGGAGCCTGTTACTTCTCTCCCCAAACTTAGACTTTGGGACCTCCAAGACTCTGCTTAACCCCTCAGTCAGAGGCAGGATGGCGGACCATGTACAGAGATTTGCCAGACCTGGACACAGGCCAGTATTACAGGGAGGGAGGAAGAAAGAGAGAGAGAGAGAGGAACAAGAGGGGCCCACAGTGCTCTGATGCTCTAATGCTCTATATCTAAGCTCTCTCTTGCTCTCACTTTCTCCCTCTTGCTCTTTCACTTTCTACCTCACTACCTCTCTATCTGATCTATCTCATCTCTGTCTATCTCTCTACCTATCTACCTATCTAATCAAGCATCTATTTACTTACATACCTGTCTGTCTATCTGCTTATCTTCCTATCTCTCTATCATTTATCTAATCTAATCTCATCTCTTTCTAAAGTAACCAGTCAAAATTGAGTTTTATATTGTTCTTGAGGTACCTGCATCAACAAGTCCCCTAATACTTAAACATTACTTGACAGCAACTAGTTTTGTTTGTTTGTTTTCTAAGAACTTGATACTTACATAGAAGTAAAATTAGGATAATATTTCCTTTTTTCACTCTGGTATTTTTCCAGTTACCCTATTGCTTTAATTTTCTTTGCTTGATGTTCCTTAAGGAGCCCTGATGGCGCAGTAGTTAAGTGCTCAGCTGCTAACCAAAAGGTCAGTGGTTTGAACCCACCAGTGGCTCCACAGGAGAAAGATGTGGCAATCTACTTCCATAAAGATTCCCGCCTTGGAAACTCTACGGGGCAGTTCTAGTCTGTCCTACAGGTTTGCTCTGAGTCGGAATCGACTCAACGGCAATGAGTTTGGCTTGGTGACATTCCTTACAACTTTTTTTTTTTTAATACGGTCTCTCACACCGTTATCTAGAGGACTCTTTAATTAGCTGTCATTACCTCTGTAAATGGTATTGGCTATGCTCTAATTGCTCCATGTGAAATCTGCCTTTGAAGCGGTGTGTGGCCTGGTGGCTGGAGGAATGACGCTGCTCCTTCCAGAGACCAAGGGGATGTCTTTGCCGGAGACCATCGAGGACATCGAGAACCTCTCGAGGTGACATCCTGGGGAGCTCAGGGACTCGGGGGGCCTGAAAAGGGTCAAGGGAGCACTTCACAGTGTATTTCCTCTGTGTTCAAGGTTTAGGAGAGCTTTACCTATATTGGGATGCCTTTTTATCACTCCTCGAGCTTTTCTATATGTAAACAGAACACTATAGCAAGGGGCTGTACGCAGGGAAAGAATAACCAGTTGCTGTGGCGTCGATTCCGACTCATGGCGACCCCATGTGTGTCAGAGTAGAACTGCTTCGTAGGGTTTTCATGGGTATGACCTTTGGGAAGCAGATGGCCAGGACTTTTGTCTGAAGCATCATCTAACTATCCTTTCAGTTAGTTGCCTGGTGCTGAACCGTTTGCACCACCAGGAAGAGAACAGAGGCCATGGATATGCATTTTGAGTTGACAGCATTCTGTCCTAAACTGCTGGAGCAGAAAAAGATTTATCTGGGCTGTTGATTGAAGGGGCAACAGGACCCCTAGCGCATCCCCAGAGAGTTAATCACTCTGAGTTGGGAACATCGTTAAATCAATCTTCTGTTCTTTTAGTAACTGTCAGTTCAGATTCTTTAGTGATTTTCTTCACAAAGAAGAATGTCTTAAATGTTTCACCCTTGCAACAGAGACAAGCGCTTTAGTGGAGGCTAAGATTTTACTCTTAACAACAAAGGAAGGAAAGAAAGTGTGTGATGAGGTGACCTCTCGGTGCCTCTGCAGCCCCGGTTCCACGACTGCAGAGTAATAACACACGAGTCCCTGTAAGTGGAGAGAGAAGGGTCTGTGGAGTCAGGAAGACCTGGGTTCAAGTCTTGATGTGGCCCCCTCCTTGGCCTCGTGACTTTGGGAGAGTTATTTAAAATACAAAGCCTTAATTTCCTTACCTGAAAAACAGCCATGATAATACTTAACTTACAGAGTGAAATAAAAGGAGGCGAGAGGGCCTAATCTATTTCTTGGCACATAGTAGGCTTTCAATAAATATTAGAAATTGTTTCCATCCTTATTGCATATTGTGTGATTTTCTCAGTGATTCTCAATTTTTCGCATGCGCAAGAATCACGAAGAGCGCTTGCTAGAATGCAGATTCCTGGACCTTCTAATTTTGACTTAATAAGTGAAGGGTGGGTCCCAGCAAGCTGCACTTTTAATAGCTCCAGAGACAATGCCCACGTAGGTGCTCTGTAAACCCCACTTGGAGAAATTGTGAATTGCTTAGTACCTGATTTTAATGATAAACACACGGTTTAGTTGTTGACAATTTGCTTCTTTTTGGTCTGAAGTGATAGAAATACACAGCTAATGTTGTGTTGCCTGATTTAAAAAGGTTTTAATTTTAATTTGCTAAAAGGCCCTTGGTCCTCATCTAGGATGTTTTTGTTTAATCACTTCTCTCCGTCCTGCCTTTCTAGGGGGGGCCAGGTGGTCCTGCTCTGCGCCCCCCACCCCCCCACCCCGTGCATCCCGTGCACCCTCTGCCCTTGACAGCACTCTTCACACGTTATAACATCGCTATTCCGTCATCTGTCTTCTCCACTATACTGAATTCCATAAGTAGTAGCCCCTGTCTGTTGCCAGAGAGATCAATTCCTCCTCTTCCCTACTTTCATGGGAAGAATGTCAGAGACTGGGAATAATAGCAACACCAGCTAACGTTTATGGAATGTGTCAAGCACGTCTCTGAAAGCTTTGCTGGCATTCTCACTCAATCCTCTCATAATACCGTGAGGCAACTACTATTGTTATCATACCCATTTCACAGATGAAGGAAATAATGACAGGAAACCCTAGGGGACAGTTCTACTCTTTAGTAGATACTCTTTGAATCAAATCAATGGCAATGGGTTTGGTTTTTGGTTTTGGTTTACCCAAAGAGTCACCGGATTCAAAATGGAACGTTGACTGGTGATTGAGTTAGGTCGCAACATGATTGACGTTCTACTTCATGGGTCAGCGAACCTTTTCTGTAAAGGGTCAGGTAGGAAATATTTTAGGCTTTGGGGCCATACGAAGTCTATCGCCAGTACTCAGCTCTGCTGTTGTAGCGTGGAAGTAGACAAAGGCAATATGGAAGCAAATGAGTGTGACTAGGTTCCAATACGACTTTACTGATGGACCTTGAAATTTGAACTTCATCTGTTTTTCAATTGTCACAAAATATTTTTATCTAATTTTTTTTTTCCAACTGTTTAAAAATGTGAAAAAGGAATCTTAGCTCGCAAGGTATACAAACAGGTGGTGAGCCAGATTTGGCCCACAGCCTGTGGTTTGCCAACCCTTTCTCTATTTTGTTGCTTGCTGTCCTCACCCTCTCTCTTTTTCCTGAAAACTTATCCCTGCATACAAAATTTGCAACAGTTTTTTAATCCAGATATTGATTATTGTAATTGTAATTTTTTATTTTTGGTTGCCACAGGAAAGCAAAGCCCAAAGAAAACACCATTTACCTTCAGGTCCAGACATCAGAATTCTCTGGCACCTAAGAGAAAGGTTGCCCTGGGGACTGGATGGCAGAGAGATGAATATGGAGCCATCATCTGAAGAGGCTCTGGAAGCCCGTACATTCACACTCTTCCTCATACTTGTCTGCCCCCTAATCAGTCTCAATCCCTAGGGATTGCGTGAGTGGGCTTTGATTTTTTTTTGTTTGCTTCCTTTTAAGTCCCCCAAAGCCCTGGCTATCTTTGAGCTCCTTCTCCTTTCTAGTGAAAGCTTGGCTGTAACCAAGTACTTAATTATCTAAAGTATTTTAAAGACCCAGTAGAATTCAAGTGTTGCATAATAAAGAAGCCTCTGCAACTGGTTTTCTAGAATAAGTATTGTTTTATTCACTATCTGAAAGAAAATACCTTTGTATTTGTAGGTAACTGTGTTGGCAAAAGCATTTCGACGTATAGTTAGTTCTTTGAGGGCATTTGGTTTTTAAGAATGGCTACTTTTCTGGCCAGTTGCCATCAAGTTGACTCCGACTCATGGCAGTCTCATGTGTGTCAGAGTAGAACTTGCTCCACAGAATTTTCAATGGCTGATTTTTGGGATGTAGAGCCCCAGGCCTTTCTTCTGAGGCACCTCTGGGTGGACTTGAACCACCAACCTTTTGGTTAGCAACTGAGCCTCATTCAAATACCAGAAGCATTATTATCATTGTAGGGAAGAAGTTTCTGCCAGATACGAATATTTTATTCTATTTCACTATTGGTTTTAGCTCTTGTTGGTGATTCTAGAAGGTGAGCTAGTATGCCAACTGTGAAATATCACAGTACAGTAAATATATCAAAAAGAGTTCAATTTGCTATGAGTTAATGTCCTTCTTGGACCCTATGCAGTGATTAGTTACTGGAGTACAAAAAAAATTCATTAAAAAATTTCTTCATCTGTGCGACAGACTACAAAAGCAACATAATACAAGGCTTCAGAGTACATTGAAAACAAAGTTTCTAAAGCAAATCAGAGATGCTAATTAGAGACCCCATGAAATAGATGTGGTTGGATTTTACACATTTGTGGTGTGAGTAGCTGTTGCGTGTTGAGGGAGTTCGGGACTGATCAAGGTAAAAAAAGATATGAGCACGAGATCGCAGCTTTGTACAAGCTATTTCTTGGGGCCGATGCATTGACAGCCGCATGCAGTGGGGTGCTCCCTACAGCAGGAAGTCTGCCAGAGGCAAACTGTGCAGGCGGCCGCCAGAAAGGGAGGCGGGCCTGGACACCTGGGGGAGGGGCGAAGGGAGGGGGGCTTAGGTGTGCCTTCTGGCTGTTCTTCTGCAGCAAGCCGGGGAGTCCCTGGGTCAGAGAGCACCAAGGACAGGCACAGCAGGAGGTCTTTATAACCACAGGGTTTTATCTAGGGGTAGCAGGAATCCCTCTGTGGTGCAAACCGTTAACATGCTGCGCTGCTAACCCAAAGGCTGGAGGTTTCAGTCCACTCAGAGGTGCCTCAGAAGAAAGACCTGGCAGTCTACTTGTGAAAAATCAGCCATTGAAAATCCTGTGGGGGCATTCTACTCTGACAACATGGGATGGCTGTGAGTCAGAAGTGACTTGATGGCAAATGGCTGATGCTAGTTGTAGGGCTAGCAGATGTTGGGCGCAGTATTGTGGGGTATGTAAAGCAGGCAGGCTCTAAGTGGCTAACAATCTTCTTCGGGCTATTTTTTAAAACAATTGGATGTGCACAAATTGGAGTTTGGTGCTGGCAGGCCTTTATCGGGCTAGTGGGACTCAGCTGGCTAGAAAGAGGTAAATAACGCAGAGCCAGCGCACAGAGGCTGTCTTTGGTTCATTTCTAGAGTACTAGCGAAGAATAAATGATGGTCACAGGCCACAGGAACATGAGTTCATGGTTTCAGCACTGTGCCACACTGTGGTCTTCCTTAGAGAATGACATTGGCAACTTGGGAACCTGAAGCTTTTCCCTTGGCAAAAAACAAAAAACAAAAAACAAAGGCCTTGTCTTCCAAATTCTATTTTAAACTACAATCTGGACACAGGGAAGGAAGGAATCTAGTGCCTCATTTCAGCTTCTCCAAACTCAAGCCTGATGCTCTGTCTTGCATTACTCACCAGAAAAGTCACACTGTTACTAGTAATAAATACGTACATTGCAGGCTTTGAATAGTTATTTTTCAAACGTGCAGTAAAAATGTCCTCTCTCATCTTTCTCAGAAACTTTTTGGCAAAACTTCTGAGGGAGGCTTAAAACAAAGAGGGGTCTTCATTACAAAAAAGCCAAACCCCAACCCCACAACTGTGTTGCTGCTCTGCAGACATGCGGACAGTGTACACTGGTCTTGTAGGATGCAGTCCGGCTGGTATTTCCTTAAAATGCAAAGCTTCGGATCAGGGGTGAGAAGTGCAGATTCTGTAGAACTGAGGGAGCCCACCTCCCCTCTTCTGGGCGCTATCCTGAGTGAGGGAGTGCTATTCAGGTGACCCGTTTTAAAGTAGGGCCCCATTGAAATGAATTGTATTGTCATGTTGCCTGATGTATCACGAAGGTGAGATTGGGTGCCCCTCCCTCTCTTACTGTGTCTCTAATGGAGCCAAAGCAAATCTAGATAAAATTGGGGTGTGAGGTGAGTCTGCGTGGAAGGCAGGAATGAGGTGGTCGTGGTGAGATGCGTCTTCAGTACGGAGAAAACCTGTGGCCACAACCCAGGCGTCAGAGACATGAAAAGTGTGACTGCTGCTGGTTGAGGGCGTGTGGCGTGGTGTGGGCCTCCTACACCTTGGTGGGGCTTCTGTAAATACACGCACGTCTGCAGCACCATTGTGAGGGCGGCTCTTCCTTCAGCAAATGTGTGTCACGGCCAGTTGTGCGCCTCGATTGTCTTGGACTCTTAGGAAAGCTAAAGGCAACCGCAGGTTACACTGCAAATCATGTGAATGTAAAACTTCACAGGAGCAAGGGAACATTTGAAAGGCAACGTAGGTCATTCAACATGGAGGAGCAGCAGTCCAACCTTATCGTAAACCAAAAAAAACCAAGCCAGATGCTGTCGATTCCGACTCATGGCGACCCCATGTGTGCAGACTAGAACTGTTCCGTAGGGTTTTCAAGGCTGTGACCTTTTGGAAGCAGATCACCAGGCCTGTCTTCTGAGACACCTCTGTGTGAGTTTGAACGCCAAACATTTGGTTAGCAGTTGAGCACTTAACCATTGGCACCGTCCAGGGACCCCGCAACCTTGTAGTAGATGGAGCAATTTGAAGGTCTCAGAAATTCCCTCTCCAATCCCGCCCCAAACATTTCCTCAATGCTTAGAGTTCAGATTTAGAGATTTGTTCCTGCGGGTCTTAAAAGCCAATCATTCTGGTGGAAGAAGAAGTAAAACCTTACCTTTGTCAGCCAGCAGCAGATGTGGGGCCAGCAACAACTAAGAGCAGCATGGGGTGGCAGCTGGGGGACCAGAAGTCCAGAAACTGAGGGGGCAAGGGTGGGACGAGGGGAGGAAGCCAGCCCCTTCAGCCTCCTGGCCTGGTGCACTGTTGCGCCTGAGGGGGGCAGTGCTGTGTCACAGGAGATGGGACCTTGTTGTGAGCTGGACAGGGTCCCGACCTCTGTCACTCACTGACTTTATGACCTGCAGCAAGTTCTTTACCTGTCTCCTCCTAACGCCCGCCGGGCAGGTGGCCTGGGAGGATTAAGCGAGAAATACATGGATGTCTGTAAAGCACCCCGCCAAAGGTCAAAGGCACAGAGTCAGCACTTACTTGGCAGACTCAGTACTCCTCTGGTAGGTGCTGGTTGTGGGGGGAGCATTATAATTAAAATGAGAGGACAGAGGATGCATATTCTAGACCTATCTTTGCTGTAAATGAGCTATGCAAGTTTAAAGACATCGTTCATCTTTGAAATCCTCACTTCTCTTTCCCTAAGGTAAGGAGGTAGGTGGGTGGGGGAGGGGCGCTGCCCAACCTCTAAGGTGCTCACCTGGTCAAACACGCCCCTTCTCCCTCTTCTTCTTTCTAGCTTCTTTCCCTTCTTCTAAATGCTCCCTGGACCCTCTACTTTTCATCCAGAAGGCAGCTCCAAGCTTTACAGAAATCCGAGTGGCAGATTAACCAGCCCTTTGTTCCCCTGCCCCAACTGTTCATAATGCCTCCATCTGGGGGTGAGATTGGGTGGGTGCGAGTGTTGGGTGGGAGGGGGCTGCCTTTTCTTTCTTCCCCTATAGACTCACCCGTAACAGAAGCTCAGGATCCCTGGGCACTGAGTCCCCCTTTTCCCCTCCCGCCCTGTCTTGACTATTTTTTTAATTGATGGATGATTCTATCCTTTCGTTGGTTGCTGTGGTAACTATATACATAACATTTGCCATTTCCACATTCTTTACGTGTACCCTCTGTGACACTAACTGCATTCATCGTGTGTGCAGCCATCACCACTATCTACTTCCAAAATTTTCCATCACTCTTAACAGAAGCTCAGTGCCCCTAACCCACAGCTCCCTCATTCCCCCCTCCCCACAACCATTCTTTCTCAATGAAAGAAAAGCTAAGGTTTCTAAAGCTTTGAATAGTATTATAATTTAGAGATATGGTTTGGTGGGATGAAATCAAGTACGGTAGCTCAAAGTTGGTAAAAAGATCTTTCATGTAAGAGAATTACATATAAGGGAAGAAAAGTTAGTAGTTCAGATAAAGAAACGAACTGATTTCACAGGAGAACATGATGCAAAAGGATTTCATAAAATCAGTCTGACTGGAAATACCAGCATGTGTTCATGACCTTCGAGGACTCCCCCGGGCTCCCTCCCTGAGCAGCCGAGGCTGCCTCCAACATCCCTCTTAATCCCAGAGCCAGCGGGACGCTCGAATGTGCATGCCAGGCACCCAATATTATAACTTGGTCACAGAATTAGGATTCTAAGGAGGGTTGCTGGGGCTAGGACAAGGAGCATGAAAAATTCAAAATTCAAGCACTGGGAACTGTTTTTTTCCGGAAAGCAAGTCCTCTCAGTGAAGTCTACCGCAGTGCTGA